ATACTTCATGTTCGGAAAATACAATGGTTTTGTCTGTTTGTCAGCAAGGCGAGGGTTTCTGCATGCATGTATTTTCTAGTCTATTTGTTGAATTGCATTCGACGCGACCGAAATCCGAAACAGGCCTCAGACGGACACAAATTTTTGATGAATTCAAATCGGTTGACAGATTGGGATATAAAAATACCCTACTTTCTTTCATTTAGAAATGTTCCCATGCATGTTCCAAACCTTGCTATAATTATTTGCTAGTAACCCTTTGACAAAGGTCTTGCCCGAAATGTTGGAATTTTCAGGGACGGAGTGGTTGGTGTACTGGTAAAAAGATTTCCCTGTGGATCATTGCCATGATCTTTAGTGTAGTCAAAACATTAGGTTTTGCCTCTCATCATATCATCTCATTGAATATAATTTGTCAAATTGAGTACAACTGTTCATCATAAAGTGCACCAAATAGAGGTTATATATACAGAGCGATTTTTGAACTGCAATTTGCACTTCTCCAATGTTTAATTTAGTAGACGAGAAGTATGTACTTTTGTATACATGTGAATTAATATGTCTGGCAAGAACTTTAACAGATTTAATGTTTATCTAAGTTAAAGAAAAAACAATGTTATACAGCTGAGAACAACAACTTTTTTATTTGTGCTTCTATTCTTTTAAAAAGATTAAAATTATTTTAGAAAGACGAGTGTGGAGTTTGTCTTGAGACATGGGTAACAAGTGATATTATATATGTACTCCATGTACTGTAGCCCGTATGGCCCAATGCATGATTACATTGCTATCAAAGAGTACAGGGTAATACTCTTGATGTAGAATTTCATGTTTTGATAATTTTATTCTGGAAAGATAACTCGTACTTACCTGTATAGTAACTTATACTATACGTTAGCAGATATAAGTTTAGACCAGAATCCTCCAATAATTAACAGCTCTTTAGTTATAGGCTAGTAATCTCCTGTAATCGTATCCTGAAAATTGGTGGACCTGCAGGAGACGTTACATATGTTATAATACATGCAATCTACCTTTCATGTGCTTGTTACTTAACTTGCACTTGGTCACGTATGGTTACTTTACTAATGTCCTCGTTTCACATTGTTACACAGCTAATGATACACATTACTAATACATTTAATGCTTAATCCGGCCTAATTTTAATTTTAGGGACAAATTTACCTCTAAGTCAACATTACCTTAAGTCATTTAAATATGAAAAGGACGGTGACTTTGCTAAACACAACGCCTTCTGGTCCTACGCTTTGATTAAACATGCTTTCAAATTAGCTTAGTGTGTGAAATGAAACGGGGTTTGTTCAGTTTGTGCCGGCCATAGAACGTCAATGGATATTGTTTTAAAGTTGTAAAAATTGTATAACAGAGTGCATGGTGATAACGGAATTTTGCATTATTTTAATAAGCAGTTATAATTAGTCTGCGTGTGCACAACAGTTGGTCAGTTTAAGGCATCCAGCCTTTGACCCCGCCAGTAGGGCTGACGTGGGCAAAGGCTGGGTACAGGTACAGGCTACAAGCCAGTGTAATGAATTATGAATATAACTGCATGGAACGCTATATCTCCAGATGAACTGCCTATCTTTTTCTTAAAGCCAAATCTGACCCTCAGGGAGTCAAGACCGTTGCTGAATGGCTAAATTTAAACAGATTGTCTATCAATACAACAAAAACAAAGTTAATTGTGTTTAAATCTCCAAATAAAAAGAAACAGGAATTGCACCTCTCTGTAAATAATCAATCGGTTTCACAAGTTAGAAGCACTCACTACATTCTTAGGTGTCGTTATTGATGAATATTTGACCTGGAACGATCACATAGAAGCGGTAACGAAAAAAGTTATGAAGTCACCTGGAATAATAGCAAAACTGCGCCACTATAGAAACCTAAATACATTAAAACTAATCTACTATGCTTTGGTCTATCCATATCTTATTTATGGCAACATACTCTGGGGAAATACATATAAAAAACGAATTCAAAAACGTATAAATGTTCAAAAGAAGATTGTACGTTTAATGACTTTTAGCTCTCACTTAGATCATACTGAAAACATATTTCAGCACCTAAATATATTGAACTTAAGCAAACTAAACGATTATCTTACCAGTTTGTTCATGTTCAGATATCATCACTTAAAAAACTTACCTGAATTTTTTGCGAACTACTATATTTCAAATAGTGAAGTTCATAGACATAATACAAGAAATTCAATGAAACTTCATAAGCCTTATCAAAAAACAAACTATGTTAAACATTCACTCTCTAACAAGGGAGCTGATATCTGGAATAATCTTGACCCAAACTTTAAAAATATAGCATCATACTATATATTCAAGAAAAAATCGAAAAAATACTACATACTGAATAACTGAAAAACTACTACCAATTAAAAACAACATCTGCAATATCAAATTTTATATGAACTAACAAGCTCGCTTCGATCGTAACTGGCAAATCTGATAAGTGACGTACTTGGCGGTTTGTGGTACCACTGAAGAGGAAGTTCGGTCGAAGCCATGACCGTGGGTCGAGAGTTTGCGTTTAGTCATGGCCACGTTCACAAATTAGGTATCGACGACTTGGTAACGTATTTACATTTAACCTAGCTGGAGTCGAGTGCCGAGAACAACACCTCTCCCCCATAGTACCACAATCACACTTCATAGTACCACAATCACACTTCCACTTCCTAAGGAAGTGGAGATGAGCAAGCGCACTAAGACCCGCTCCGAAAGAGACACTGTATAACGAACGACTTATGACACATACACGAGTTTGGGCCGATTGTTGACGCTGATTGCCGCGAACACAGGACGGGAAGGACGATGCGACAGACGAAGGATTGTGAGATACCAGGGTCGTTAACCCAGCGAGGCTGGCGCGAGGTGCCAGATCATGAACAGGGAAAGGTACTTAAATGAGATTGGGCAATCGCATTGAGCCAAGCGACGGGGCTGGCTGCCGGCTTCCTCCGGGAAGGCTACGGATGGGCGTGGGTGAGGGGATGGGAACGATTAAGAACCCCCGTGGGTGAGGGGGGATGGGAAGACTAAATGTCACGACTGAGAATGAGCTACTGGCGTAAACAACTTATATAAGGTAGGTTATGCAAATGCCCTCATTAGCATTTGCCAAGCTGTTCCTGGGGCCCCCTATTCTGATAACAAGTACAACAACTCAGCTCGTTCTTAATATCATTTATTTCATAAATCCAATTAATAATAATATAGTTTTGTGATCATAACATTTTATTTACTGTAGCACTATATGTAAATACTTTATCATATTGCACCTCACTTGAAGCACTGTCACCTAGTTTTGTTTGTAAATAGGATCCTTATTTTATAATTTAAAATGTAACTAGGGGTCTTAATCAAAAGCCTTTTGATGGTTTCTAGTAGGCCCCTAGCCCTAGATAATAAACATGTAAACCCGCGTGATTATGCATTGGGATTCTCTCGCGAGACCAGTTCACTTTCAATAAACAATAATTGGGAAAAAATAAGAAAAATCTAAAAGTAAAGTCTACTAGGACGTTTAATTAACCTGAATAAATGCATTAATAGAAAGCAAAAAAGCTTTTTTGTATAAATTTTAAGCCGGTGTTCAAGAATACATCAGTCGTGTTGACGGATTGACCGCGCTCTCAAATTTCCGGTTGGAGGTAAGTTGTTGGAGGTAACGTTCCAGCAATATTTATTTCACTGCTACAAGCTGGGCTCTCTGTGGCTTTACGAGATGTAATGGTGCATGCAATTAGTTTACCCATACTGCTATAGCTTTGAGTTTGATGGGTGGAAGCGTAACGTTCATGTTCATGTTTGTAGTGATTTATACGCCACGGGAAGCGCATACAGAATAAGTGATAATTATTATAAGTAATAACCGACTGGGTGCTACAAGTAATGCAAAGTTTCAAGATCTACGGTGATATAGCACCAGATAATTTTACACACAAAATTTCTACGAACGCGGGGGTGAGTCTAATTGCCATTTATTTTATCAAGCTCAGAAAGCATCTACAAGCGACCGAGATGTGAAAACTCTTTTGTACTCAGGGGCCCACGAATACCAAGGCCGCCTTTATAATATGCTTGATCAGACTCGTTATGACAGTACAAAACAAGAACGAGTCACTATATAACACTGTCACGAATTATGTTAAAGAAGACCAATCACAAAACGTGATATACAAAGATCACAAAACGTGATCAACATATCTATTTACAGATTTACTGCGGGGGAGGCACAACCTGGCCACGTTCTGACTCAATCATTCATTTAATTAGTAGAAATACGTGACTTAAAATTATTCGTTATTTTTTGAAATTCTTATATTGATTATTGAACATTGTATACTCATTTGCACGCATCTAATATCAATAGGCCTATATTCTAACACAACACTTTATTACAACCTTGTTCGTATTCCCTATTTCGCACGTACACCCTCTTGTGTTGTCCTTTTTTTAGTCACATTGTGGTGAATATCTCATTTCACCTCCACCGGAGGTGACGCACACTGACAGGGGTGATTGTTACTAGCTGGCGACCCTGGCCGGACTTGCTTCGCCGTCCGTGTCCGCGTCAACACCCGTCACGCAAGTCGAAATGAAACCAGCCTTAAGGCCACATAAAATAAATTCCTTGATTCGCATCACCGCCCGACTGTATTTTAAGAGCCGCGTGAAATTTTTTTATATTTTGTTATACAATATAAATGTACCGCCCGACAAAATATTTCAAGACAGTTAAGTTTTTTATATTTTATATTGGGTTTTTAGTGCCATTTTAAACTGCCAATTTCAAACAAATAGAACCTTGAAAGAAATTTCATTGCATTTTAACGGAACTTCGCATTCAGTTCAAGGGCCAGTCATTGTTCGTGGAGAAATACGTTTATTTCAGTTTGTGACACTTTTATTTATTGATATATATTAAATTATATAAATATAAAATATAAAATATAAACCTCCCGCCTCTCCGACATTTTCAAAGTGTAGTGATGAGAATCAAGGAATTTATTTTATGTGGCCTTATTCAGTTTATTCACTAATTGTACAGATTTTTTATTCAAAACTAATACTTTATCAGCAAGATTAACTAGTTAAGAAATAAAGGGTTATCTTAAAATAATATCAAAGTACTTAAATGAGATTTTAATGCCAGGCCGGTTATCCAGGCTGTGAGCCTTTGACTTCGCATCATTGAATTTATAGACCTTAAAGTCTAAAGATGTAGGACGGCAAAGCGACGCCACGACGGCCAAAACAAACTCATTCAAATAAATTATTGTAAAGAAAGCCTACGTGTATTATCAATCGTATGAATTTCACACAGTTTGAAGAGATCAAAACGGTCGTATTTAGAAACAGATTTCAGTTTTATTATTTATGAAATCACCAATATAGCTTATTTTTAGTTTTTTGGCGCCAAGTTTGTGACACAATCAGTGGCGGCGCCAGCCTTTTAAAAGTGGGGTGGATTTTCGAGCGGCAAAGGCGCGAGGAACTTCTAGGGGGGTCCGGGGGCATGCCCCCCCGGAAAATTTTTGAAATCTAGACTCCCTGAAAAACGATTTCCTGCATTTTCAGGGTAAGATTATACAGAATTCCGAAGATTATAAAGTGAACAAATCACACGATATTTTCATGATTATATATGTATATATAAAAACTATGACTTTACTTTGATGTGAAAATTGAAGTCAACATAATTTTATTATTAAATATATTAACCCATTATGGTTTCCTTCGGCGGTCGAAATCAGCGCCTGTACTATGCTAATGGTAAATACCGCATATATGAAATAATGAAATGGTCTTTTGTCAAAAGTAAATCTTTTAATACCGGTTTTTATTCACATAACTGGACTGATGTCACATACGTACCCCCCTCCCCCTATTTTTCTCACCGGATTTGGACAAATTAGAAAATTGACCTTGAAGAGAACTGGGGGGGACGTGTCCTCCCCAGTCCTCCCCGTGACGCCGCCACTGGACACAATTTACCCGCCAAAAAGTAGCAATTTCAAAAACAAAAAAAACCCGATTTGTTGCAATGATATGTTCTAATAATTATTGTGTAGCACTAGGAAATTTCGCCGCTAAACAATGGTATAAGCTTCTGAAACAACAAAAAATCGACAATGACATTTAAAGAAGTGCCTGTTGCAAAAAGTTGACCCCCTAGTATCTATCAAAAAGAGTGTATAAAATGCGTATGTTGTGACATGTACAGTACAGAAACATATATCATTATATTATGGCAACAATTACGTTATATGAGTGTGATTTGTGTTATTTGGTGTAACATTTTTACAGTCTTTCAAATTTTTTTTTTTGGGGGGGGGGCTCAAACCCCCTAGTGTCCGCCACTGATTAGCCAAGACAGTATGAGGTTAACGTTTGCGGTATAAATTCTACACATGGATCCTGATACATTTTATTTCTATTTTTATAGTATGAATTTTAATACACGTGCCCTTGAAAAATTTCTGCATATTTTTGCAATTAACTTTCGATGACCCACCCCTTCAACCGTGCTCAAAAATAGTTACCCACCCCCTATTTTTCTCAGTCCACCCCCTTTTACTTTATGACTGGTCCCTTAGGGCAATTTCGCTATTTATATAGTTGTTTCAAGGGTTGCCAACTTGGCTCTTTTTAAGCCAGATTTCTCGATTTTGGCTTATTTTTCTTGCGCTTGGCTTTGGAAAATTTCGTTTGGCTTATCTTTATTTTCTGGCTTATTTTGGCTTCATTTTAAAAAATGGAGTTAAAAATCATATATTGGTATTTTTCAATCAAATATAGCCAGCTTTATTTGTTTTGATGATTGATTCAATTTTGACTCAATTTTGATTCACAGCTTAATATTTAATAGGATCACTTCCAGCCAATGACAGCAACGCTTCTCACTTCGTTGCTACTTGCTACTTACTGTCTTAATCGCAGACGTCCGACAATCATGAAAAAAATTTTGATTCTTTTAGATCTTGAAAAAAGTAATAACGGTATAGAAAGAATCTTTTCAACAGAAAACCAGTCTCAAACTTCAAATCGTGAGGGAAGTCGTGCAACCACATTAGCATTTATATTATGTGTGCTTCGCTATCGCCATTGGCATTGTTATAAATAAATTGTCTCACTTATCAGATCGTGTGTGCAATTCTTGTTGGCGGCGGAAAGTACGAAATTTATTTCAGTTATTTCATTTGGTAAAGAACTCTACAAAAGAAGAGAGCGTTCAGAGTCCAGATCGTTTCAAACGGCAATTTAATACCGTCTTCTGTTTCGCTCTCTCAGCGAAGCCTTGTAAATCGCAAAGTGTTTCGAATAGGCTTATATGCAACTACATCTCAACATCAACGAAAAGATAATTTTCTTGAGGAACATATAACGTATCAAGTCTGAAATTAATGAAACTCAAGTAAAGGTTACTATAGTTTACCCCAGTCGTAATGTTGCTATTCCAACACCTCACGACAAGCAATCCCCATTGGGATAACGGCAAAAACGTCTCTTCCTTCAAGTAAACAATAAACAGTCTGTTCTTGTTCCATTTATAATCGAAAAAAGTGATCAATTTTCGAATTTTGAGCTTATCGAGAGCCTTTGTGATGAATCACTGACCTAATTATAGAATCCAACAGCAAACAGCCAATCAGAATGCCGCGTTCGTGGGCGAACACGGAAAGTACAAAATACCGGGCCTTGCTTGCAGGCCCACTATCAGTTCCCCTGGGCCTGCACGCGGGCTGTAGTGTATTAGGTATTCATTATGTATAATTTATGTAAATCAGTTAGTATATAAAGTGTAGGCACATGTGAATAAAGGAGGACAACATCACTACATTGGCGACGAGGATGGCTGAAAGCGTGTTGCCTCCTCCTACGAAGTTCAATATCGAAGCCGCAGATGCATACATAGAATGGAAAGCTTGGATAGAGTCTTTTAACATCTATGCTGTAGCGGTCGAGCTCGAAAAAAAGTCGGATGGTGTCCAAACAGCGATAATGCTGCATTGCCTAGGGCCGGCGATGCAAAGAATATTTAGAACATTGCCCGGCAAGAAAGAAAGTTTTAAAGAGGCAGTTGAAGCTCTTGAAGGCTATTTCGCGCCGAGAAGAAACGTCGTTGCTGAAAGACACAAGTTTCGCAGTCGAAAACAAAATGCTGATGAGACAATCGACGCGTATCTAACGTCGTTAAGGGAATTGGTAAAAACGTGTGAATTCGGGGCGCTCGAAGACGAAATGCTAAGGGATCAAATCGTAGAAAAATGCTATTCAAAACAACTAAGAGAAAGACTCTTAGCTCAGGAAGAACTAGACCTGGCTAAGACCCTCAGAATAGCAAGAAGTAGCGAAAGCGCCATAAAAGAAGCACGACTCCTTTCTGGTCATAAAACAAAAGACAACATCATTAACATTGACCGCCTGAATAACCCTGACAAGCGAAATAGGAATTACAATAGTGAAAATTTCAAGTGCTATAGGTGTGGCGGCGTGGGCCACAAGCCAGCAGATTGTCGAGCCATAAGTATGAAATGTAATAACTGTCAAAGGTTAGGACATTTTGCTCGCGTATGTCGCTCGAAGGGTGTATCTCGAAAGCCGTATGAATCTCAAAAGACTTCGAGTAAAAAGACGAAAGCGCATAGAAACGTCCGTGCAATTCGACGCAAAGATTCAGATAGTAATGAATCGTGTATTGAAAGCGAATCCGAAGACGAACAGATTCTGTTCATGGAAGGGCAAGACAGTCCTGTCCAGATTACAATCAATGGTCGCAAGATAAAGATGGTCGCCGACACCGGTTGTAGGCAGAACATTATTTCTTCCCAGTTGTATACAGAGCAATTCAAAGAACACCCACTCGAAAGCACAACCAAACAGTTTGTGGCATATGGTCAGAAGGTACCGCTAACCTGCCTTGGTCGATTTAAAGCCAGTTTGAAAGCAGGTATGACTATTCATAGCTTTGTGTACGTAATTAAAGGCCAAGCCGAGTCGCTGCTCGGGAGAAAAAGCTGTTTTGACTTGGGAATATTCAAACAAGTCAAATTTGTGAAGCAGACTAACTCTAACTCTAAGAAGATTAATGACCCAAGATTGAACTCATTAGTTAATGAATATAATGACTTGTTTCACGGGTTAGGTCAAATTACAAATTATTCGCATAAAATTAAATTAGATCCAAATGTTAAACCAGTAAGCCAACGTCTGCGAAGAATTTCCCTTAGTCAAATAGAGCAGGTTAATGATGAAATTGATAAAATGTTGAAGGATGACGTCATTGAAGAGGTACCCGAACCAAGCCCTTGGGTTTCTAATCTTGTAGTGGTGCCTAAGGCATCAGGAGGTTTAAGGGTTTGCTGCGACTTTAGAGAGTTAAATAAAGCTATTGTAAGGGAACGATATGTCCTTCCCAAAGTAGAAGACACTTTGGATGCCCTAAATGGCTCAAAATATTTTGCAAAAATTGATGCAAGAAGCGGATTTTCCCAATTAACGCTGTCAGAGGAATGTAGATATTTGACAACGTTTATAACAAACAAAGGCTGTTTCCGTTTCAAGCGTGTTCCGTTTGGGTTAAGCGATATCAGCGAAACCTTCCAAAAAGTCATGGAAGAAATTTTGTTCGGCCTAAAAGGGGTAGAAATCTCGGTAGATGACGTCATCGTTCATGCAGTAACGATAGATCAATTAATAAGTAGGCTGCACGAGGTATTTGAAAGGTGTAGGGAACGTAACTTAAAGTTAAACCCCAAAAAGTGCGAGTTTGGGCTTACCCAAATACCGGTGTTGGGTCATGTCGTGTCAGCCAAAGGTATTCAACCAGACCCGATTAAAACAAAAGCAATTCAAGAGGCCCCTCCCCCTGCCAACGTTGCAGAATTGAGATCATTTTTAGGCGTTTGTGGGTATGTATCGAAGTTTATACCGAATTACGCCGAGCTGGTTGAACCCCTTAGGCGGCTGACAAGGCAAGGCACTAACTGGACATGGGATAGTGAGCAAGTAGAGTCGTTTGAGGAGTTGAAACATGCACTTTCTAACGAACCAGTGTTGGCTTGTTTTAAGTTAGATGGTCCCACTGTTCTTGTGACAGATGCTAGTCCAGTAGGACTAGGTGGGGTTCTGTTACAGGAGCAAACAACAGGTGAGCTAAAGCCTGTCGCATATATAAGTCGATCTCTGACACCTACTGAAGCGCGATATTCGCAGATTGAACGAGAGGCACTGGCATGTGTTTGGGTGGCTGAAAGATTTCATAATTATGTTTTTGGTACTGAATTTACCTTGCTCACTGACAACAAACCATTAGTCAGTTTGCTTTCTTTAGATTGTAAAAAGATGTTGCCCCCACGGATTCAACGTTTGGCGTGGAGGTTGCATCAATATAAGTATAAGATAAAACATATTGAAGGTAAAATGAATATTGCCAACTCTTTCTCAAGGTTGCCTTTAAATGAATTAGATGAAACTAGTTCGGGTAACATTGTGGATGAGTATGTCAAATTTGTGGTTGAAAATGATGTGCCTGACAATTGTGCGTTGTCGTTATCAGAGGTGAAAGAGGAAACGACAAAAGATAAAATTTTGACTAAAATTATGAATTTGGTTCACGTGGGTGCATGGCCAGCTGATGCTGATATTAAACCTTTTGAAAAGTTTCGGGAAGAGTTTTCGGTTTTCGAAGGTATTTTATTGCGCGGAAATCGTATTGTCGTTCCAACTTCTCTTAAGAAGCGGATTTTGAAACTTGCTCATGAAAGTCATGTTGGTATAGTGCGAACCAAGCAGTTGTTAAGGTCAAAATTTTTTTGGATAGGTATGGATAGGGATATCGAGTCTACGATTAAAGACTGCCCAGCATGCGCTGCAAGTAGACCGTTAAATAATAATACACCCTTGCAGCCAGTGCAGTTACCCAAAGCGGCGTGGTTAAAAGGTGCAGTTGATATCGTAGGTCCGATAGATAATAAGTACTTAGTAACCTATATCGACTATTACTCTTCCTTTCCTGAAGTGGCCATTACCCGAGACATAACCTCAAAAAGTACTGTTAAAATTTTGATGAATATATTTGCTAGGCATGGTTATCCTGAGGAAATTGTCTCAGATAACGGACCACAATTTATCAGTCAGGAATTTAGGCGTTTCTTGAGCTCTAAAGGAATTAAGCATGTACGTAGTTCGCCTTATTTCCCAAGAAGTAACGGGAAAATCGAACGGTTTCACAGGTATTTGAAAAAGAATTTCCAAGCTGTTACTCTTGAGGGTAGATCCTGGGAGGAGGAGCTCCCTAAAATTTTGATGTCGTACAGGAGTATTCCTCATCCCATGACAGGAAAAACTCCGGCAAGTTTGCTTTTTCATAGGGAGATACGTACAAAGCTTCCGTCAGTTAAGTTGAATGTTGATGTGAGCTCAAGCAATGTAGAGGGAGATGCACGATCGTATCAAAAGCGAATGAAGTCTTATCACGATCGTAAACAACGTGCAAAAGCGCACTCGTTTGTGGTTGGTGATATGGTGTATCTTGCTAGGAGTAAGTGTGATAGTAATAGTAAGCTGAAGTCTAAATTTGACAATATTAAGTATGTGATTATAGACTTTGTAGGAAGAGATACTTGCAAGGTAGTTAATACATTAGACGGGAAAACATATATTAGAAATGTAAAGTTTCTGACTCGTGCTCCGATTGCGGAACGGGCATTAATATTCGATGACATGTTAGATAATAAAGAGGTTAAACCTAAATCTAACACTGGGGTAGAAACAGATAATTCTGAAAAAGATACTGTAATAAGAACGAGATCAGGACGTGTATCAAAGTCCACAAGATCTAAGGACTTTGTCTATTATTGAACTTTATCTAGTTATATCTATTAATACTATAATGTTTTAAAAAAAAGAAGAAAAGAAAAAAAAAATGTATTATAGAATATATAGGAAGTAGAATAATATTTGGAAATTGTTCCCTGGGGAAGATGTAGTGTATTATGTATTCATTATGTATAATTTATGTAAATCAGTTAGTATATAAAGTGTAGGCACATGTGAATAAAGGAGGACAACATCACTACACGGGCTATTCACTGAGTGACAAAGTTTTCCTGCTTAATTGTTACATCACATTATATGATTATATCAGATTTCACTGAACTATGGAAGTTTTGTTAGTCGTGTTTAAAGTGCCTATGACACGAAATTTCACCCCAAAAGGTTTATGGTTTCATTGTAAAGATCACTTAAAACGACTTGATAATTTCTTTTATAGAATATTGGTAACTTGCTTCCTTTGCAAGATATTCAACTTTGTTTCATATGCAAATATCACCGGTGTGACATCACATCGCATAATGAGTTTTCAGAAAAGTATAGTTTTCTTGACGGATACGTATCTAAAAAACTTTAAAATTGCCCTAGTATATGTATCAATTTCATAACTGGTAATTAACCATCTGTATTTGTTTGTAAAAATATTTTATCATGGTAAAATATTGCGTTTTCAAAATGTCATTATGCGATGTGATGTCACACCGGTGATATTTGCATATGAAACAAATTTGAATATCTTGCAAAGGAAGCAAATTACGAAAATTCTATAAAATAAATTATTAAGTCATTTTAAGTGATCTTTACAATGCAATCATAAACATTTGGGGTGAAATTTCGTGTCATAGGCACTTTAAGATAAAGTCTTTTCCATTAAAAAAGATAAAAACAATATTTTCCACCCACACTTTTTTCCACCAATCAGATCGGTTTGTTACAGATTTTTGCACTGCTGTACGAGATATATTTTGATGTATATTATTAAAGTAGGTACATCACATTAGTAACAAGAGTTTCACATTAAACAACAGCTGGTGAAATTCAAACTTCTTGTCGCTAATCATCAGATGGTAAACAAATGTTATTGCAAAATCCTCTCGGATACTCTATGTTTCAAAGCATCGACTATATATTAGCTGAGTATTTACAGTACTATGTGTACGTTATACCCGTAATTGGCATGATTGCAACTCCTCAACATATCGAAAACTCCTGTTATCTCAGGGGAGGGTCGTAATTTTTTGGGTTAAGTTTCTAGGGAGAGCAAAGATCTCTTGTATTTTGAAGGGGATACACTATTTTTGGGCTCTCCTTCATGAAATTTTACCAGCCTCCCCGCTCCCCACACACACATAATTGATTAATGACTTTAAATGTTCATTATTGACTTTAAATATTCAAGACCCTCGGCCAATCATATTTAGGCTTATTAGTCATGTGAAGTATTTGAATATACGAGGAAGTTCACTATTGCCCATGAACAATATTGATAATCTGCACATTTCCTGCATTTAGAGACTTGCTTCCAATCCGTAAATCTCTTAACTGTATCAAGAAATGTCAAACCAAACATTTTTCCAGTATAGAAGTACAATGTTTTAAAGTCTCATGCACGCATACTATTCTCACCCATCACCCACTCTCTGCGTTGTATATATATATATATATATATATACATATATATATATATATATATATATATATATATATATATATATATATATATATATATATATATATATATATATATATATATATATATATATATATATATATATATATATATATATATATATATATATATATATATATATATATATATATATATATATATATATATATATATATATTATACCTCACAATGAGCTTGTCCAATCAGAGAACTAAATTTGTACCACATGACCATGGTATTTTTCAGCGAATACTATGACCTAGGCAATTTGAACCCTGGGTGTTTTACCCGGGGCCATGGTATTCGACTTCGAATACCACGCTTGAGCGGGAAATTCGACTTTTAAATGTAAAGTTATCAAAAGTTGTGTTTTGAAATTAAAAGTTAATTGAATGGTATTTGTTTTCTACTTATTTTTGAAAGGTTCGGTATAATATACCATTTATAGACCTTTCACTCGGGGTATTCCACAAAAAATTACCCTGCGGGATGAAATATTCCTCGGGCTTCGCCCTCGGAATATTTCATCCCTCAGGGTAATTTTTTGTGGAATACCCCTCATTTCAGGTCTATAACTGATAAATATATATATATAAATATATATATATATATATATATATATATATATATATATATATATATATATATATATATATATATATATATATATATATATGTTGTATTTCATTCTGTCTGAAGATGACTTTGAAATAAAGTCGAAAATTTACAACCAACCTGCGTCGTGTTTTGAATCATATATTAATGTATTCTCAAGATGTTTTGTCTTTTCTGAATATGTTTCTTTTCTGAATATGTTTATTGAAAAAACGTATTTTTTGAATTTGAATTCCCTAGCACTAAGCTGAACGCAAATATGAGTAAAATATTGATAGGGAGCTTATATTAAATTTTGACTTATTAAGAAATTAAAATTTGTAACGCTCTGTTCTTAGGAATTTAAAGCAGCCTCTCAAACAGTTTCTTTATGCATACAATGTACTTATATCAAGCTTTTATGCCCTTGTGGGTTCAGCAGAGTGCTAAGGCATTCAAATTCTAACAATACTTTATTTCAATAGGTTTGGTTTTTTGGGACACCCTGTATTACGAAAGTCACTGTGGAATCGCATCAAAAATTCGTATATCGACCACTCCCACAAACGTCTACGACCGCGCCTACATAGTTCTGCACGTTTACAATTCTAATTTTAAACAGCCAATTACCAAGAACCTGATTGGCTGTTCAAAATTAGAATTGTAAACATGCAAAACTATGTAGTCGAATGTAGGCGTGGTCGTAGACGTTTGTGGGAGTGGTCGATATACGAATTTTTGATGCGATTCCACAGTTCGGTGACTTTCGTAATATACAGGTACAAAGAGACAAATAATATCAATCTAATTAATTTAAATTAACTAGAACACTGACGGCATATGGGGATTGGCACGATTGCGGGACAGGGGGAATTTTCAAATGTTCAACAGCTAGAGAAGTTATATAGCCTAAAAAATTTGCTATATGGTATTTTTATATCAATCATATCGTGAATGGATGTGTCTATTCTTTCTATTCTGGCAAATTCCTCCTTTATTAACGCTGACAAAATTCGCTATGTTACAATTATGTGCATATGGAAAGTGAGAAGTAGTATATTTTTCACGCCGGCCCGGCCGATTCTTGTTCATCGGCATTGGTCGAATCGGTAAGGTCTGAGTCGGAGGGCCATGTGTCATTTAAATCAACCAGCTCATTTTCAGATGTCATGGAAGAATCATGTCGTTTTCAGTAGATGGTACTTTTCCGCCACATCAATCCTATACACACTCTTATCTAGTCATCTTGACCTTTATAAATTATACGCCCTCAACTCCTTATCGAGCTCTCACACACCCAGCTCGTCTATAAACGTTCCTTCTTTAAAGTTAATCAACGCTTTGGCCAATCGTAATCAGCAATTTTTCGACTCCTCAACTCCTTATCGAGCTCTCACACACCCAGCTCGTCTATAAACGTTCCTTCTTTAAAATTAATCAACGCTTTGACCAATCGTAATCAGCAATTTTTCCGCTTTGTTTTGCTCTTTTTATTCTTTCGTAAATTTGTTGCAATTGTATTCTGTACAGCCTCAATTACTTCAGTCCCAGGGTCGAATTACGATCCAGGGGGTTCATATAGAAATTACGGCAAGTTCACTAAAGATTGCTATGCCTATTACCTTTGATGCAAGTGTAACTTGCCCATCGTTACATGGGAATAAGTGAGAAATTCAAATTTGATACACATTTACATCGTAGCAAACATGTGGAAAATGACGTCTGGGTTCGTAGACTAAGCAAACATATGCACGTTCAGTTTTCCAATTTTAAGTAAATTTACCTATATTCTTGCTAAGAATTAGAAACAATATGTACTTTAAATTAAGCCATTTAAAAAACATTTATCGGTTTATGTTAATTAATCAGCTTAAAAAATTATAATATGTATTCATTCCCATGTATTGATTTAAACTTTAGTTTTAAATTTATTCGAATTTGGTTAAATTTGAATTGATTGTCCTATTTGGTTACTTTTAAAACTTATACTTTCGGGACGTTTGATATGTAACTTACATTAATGTCGTTCCAGTTGAAGTGTTCCTCGAATATTGATTCAATACGTACATTACTTCAGGCTGACCAATTCATTTGATCAAGTTCCTCGAAATATTCATACACTTCCTAGTATAATTGTAAACTTCCTGTTGAATAGTTTGAATGCACCAATCACCTTTGTTGTTTGTGCAACTAACCAATCATAAATAGAAAGGAAGTGACCAGAAATGATCAAATTCTTGGAATTGGCTCTTTGACAGGAAGTGTATGAATATCTCGAGGAACTTGATAAAATGAATTGGTCAGCCCGAGCTAATGTATTGAATCAATATTTGAGGAACACTTCAATTGGAACGACGGTAACAGAACGAAACCCGCTGTTGAAAATACTGGTGCATATTTTACATACCAATTCAATGAGAAAAATTGTTGGTAGGGATGCATGCAACTACCTGAAAAATATTATTGGCATGCACTACCTACACTGGCACAGACAGTTCAATTGATGATGCGTTCAACTAGTTTATTTTTGTAATTGTGATACTGACACTCCCGGCTTAGACTTAGTGTCCTACTCAACTTTGGATTCTTGTTATCTTGACTATAATTTAACAGTGATGAAGCTAAAAACCCCGTAAAAACAAACTAACTAAAGATAATCCTGTGGATCACATCACGTTGTTCAGAAAAAACTAGACAAACTCTCAAAGGGGTGCTTATTAATTCAAGATTCATTAATTCGAGGAATTTTAAGGCGAGCAGGTGGGAAGGGAGAAAATAGGGAGTGAGGAAAGCTGTCTGCCTCCTCTCCTTATTATAGAGAGCTTATAAGATGCGGTCAGAGGCGCCGGAATATCGATAATTGCGTGGGCAGATATTCATATATTCGTGAGTCACAGACTGTAAAAACAATCGATTTCAAAAGAAATTAATTGGGCAGAACACGAATATATAAATATCTGCCACCCCCCCCCCCCAAATATCGATATTCCGGCGACCCTGTGCGGTAAATCTAGTTCGTGGACGCTACGACACAAAATTCACAACATAACTGGGTAAATACAATGGCTTAATTTGTCGATAAACACGGATACAAGTGAAAAACAAATTGTTAACAAATCCAAAATAAAAACATTGACGCATGAGATCCACGTATTAGATTTCGATTTAGCACACTTGATAGCGCCCGGCTATTTTTCTCGCCGCTTGTAAAACTCCTAAATACAAAAATCTGTGAGGGGTAGACTTAGTGCAAGTTTAGACCACAACACAACTGTAACCCTGTAAATAAATAGCCGCATAAAGTTCCGAGATTTTACAAATGGAGCACGAGTTGATCCGTTAACTCGTGCGCCATTTTGATTTGAAACTTCGTTCATGCGCACTCGTGACCAGACCAAACGAATAGGCCATCATTTCTGATTTAAGGTTTAGAATGTCTGCCAGATAATAGCGTGAAACGAGACTTGGTGCCAAATCAGGGATTATTCTAAAGAAATATTATAGTGATAAAAATTATAGTAAAAAAAACATAAAGGAAACCTAAGAAAAAGGACCCAACTAGGCGATGGGGAATTGCAAATGACATGACTATTCGGGGGTCCTGCGGTCCTCCAGAGGTTGATTTCTTGCATTTGCAGACATTATTTTCTCTACATTCCATCTTGAAAGATTGAATATTAGGCCATATGAAATTCGATATAAAATTTGAAAATATTAAGTGAAAACCAGCACAGCTTGGTTGTCTTTGTGCTCATCGTGCGTTTGACTTTGAGCAATTTAAATATAATTTGCGATTATATGCACTTCTTTCACCAATTAATATCACTTATAGTTAAATATTAAAGAAAATCAATACTGCACGAAATTTCATTTTTCACTGCACAAATCTCATTTATTACTGCACAATCAGGTTATCACTGCACCTCAAAATAATCCCTATGCTGAATGTTGTCATGTTTCTACACAAATATTAGCAATAGGCCATTAGGCCTTGAACTGGCGTTGTCTCTTGACAACTAGAACGTAATTCGGAAATGCTCTATTAAATTAGAATCGCTTCAGAGTTCGTCTGTTTCCCTCGGTCTGCACGTCCTCCGGTGTTGTGCGTCCTATATATTAACGCGAAGGTCAAATGCCCCCATAAAGTAGGGCATAAAGTGGAAAACGCGGAGTCTCATTAAAATCGAATCTAGGCGAAATAAACAATTTCTTGACAGACTCCGTACTCCGTCTTTTCCATATTCAAGCACGGGTCCGAATTGGCATCCGGTATACCGTGTGAAAGGATCCCGAAATTACTCATTTCCGTACATGCAGAAACTGACCTACACCACCATGTGATCACGCCTGATTCACAAGATTAACACGTGCACTGATTACTCGCCGAATCCCGTGCCATGAATTATTCATCATGTAACTCAGATCTACAAAGCTTCAAGCTGCAGGGTCTTTAATTTTTAATATATGCAACAACAATAAAAATTCGCAATTAAGCATTAATTAAATTCAAAAGTGAACAAAATATTGAATTCTCGACTCGTAATTTAGATATGTGCCTCCAAAAGATTTTATGACTCTTCTCAAATGATATAAAACCATGATGGTACCAAGTACGTAACGATGCGGGATGTTCTAAAAAATGACCCAATCGAAAAGTTCGGCTTCTGTGCGTCATCCGGAAACAGTCAATATGTACGCAAAGCTGTTTGTTGTCACTCAGATGGCATGTGTTGGTTCATTTCATCATGTGTGGGTTAAAGTCTCACTAGGTTCGTGAAATCGAATAATTTCACCGCTTTCCTATACGTCCAGTCTATTACATAACTTGTTTCTGGCACATGGATTGATAGTGTACTGTACTTTGTGTAAGGTAAGACGTAGTTGATTTCCTACTGAGAATTTAATCAATCTTTGATATATATCCATTCACTTCTTACGTAGTTAGCAAGAGGAAACTATCTCAGTCTTGTCATTTCTGTCATATATATGAGTCAATGTTTGCAATCTAAAATTACTGTATACACGCCAGCATCCATTGCAGGCATTTTTGTATCCCAAGTCAACGAACAATGTCGATGAAATATGTGATAAACACTTATTAGGCCTATACATAATTCAAAAGAAGCATGTTATTCTTGAGTCAGTAGACTCTATACCGAAATAGCATAGTATTTTGTTAAATTAATAGTGAAAATGAAATCTGTCCATTTCGATTCTGCAAAGCAACGTCGTCGATTCCGGCTGTATATAGTCACCACTGACACTTACGTGCCATAATCTTTCATGGAAGTGTCCATTTCACTTGTGCGCGGCGCAGCTCAGAAAGTAAAGACTAATCGTATCTCCCGCAAGGAAGGCTACATGCAATCTGCACCAGTAGTGTCTTGCGGTGCCATAGTAGCAGAAACTCGGAGTAGACTGAGGAGTAGACTGCGTTAAAATTCAGACATAGTTGATAGTATTAAATTATAGTACTTTAATAGTCCTAGACGCATATAGTATAGAAAATACAATCTTGGACTGTGTTGATGGATATGCATGCAAGCGCTAGCGGGAAATCACTGTAAAAAACTTCAAAGCGAATTTTTATGTTCCATAGTTCTATTCTGTAATAAAAGTTCAGATAACACCGAGACAAAACATATCAACAACTGAATGTTTATTCAGTTCTCGTATGACAGTAGCAGACAATGTTTGGAATTAAGGATGGAAATGCTATTTTATACGGTATGTGGTTTCAAAATAGAAAACCTATAAGACTGTTTTCATTTCTAGAGCAATTGCATGATCCCTAAATTCCATCCCTGAATCGCGTAATATACCTTTTAAAATGCCGTTGACAATGATTTGAAAAACAAATGGCCAGCAGTATTTTTTAAATTTTAATTGTAAAAGCTTTACAGTACATAGCATAAATTATTCAAGCGCGTCAGTACAACAAATGACAAATAAAAGTCGCAGAAAATTTGCAAACATTCCTCCAAACTTATTACACGCTAGCTTTTTTCTTAATAAAACAAATAATAGACGTTTCTAGATCTTATCCGGTTGCGAATACGATTATTATCAGCGAGCTAATCTATTAGAAAAACAGGAAAATGATACGCTACATGTTTACTAAAAAGCTGAGTATAGCTGACATGAACATACTGGATGATAAACGTCATTTCTGTAGTGTTTATTATTTTTCTAAGACTATCCGTTCTCACAACTTATACATGCCAGCGCTTGCAGAATCTTTAAGTCAGGTTGTCACTATAGATTGGCAACATGAAACGTTTTCAAGTGGTTTTTGAAGAACATCAATCTCAAACACAAATTCGATATGTTGAGTGTACATATAGCGGTGCCAATATTTGACTTTGTTTACACAAGACTTGCTGTAATTACGTCCACGTTAAAAATTTGAATAATTGTTTTGTATATGGCTCAGTTTCCATCAACGCGGGGTTTTAAGTTGTTTATTTTCCCAGCATGGTTCACTGCAATTTTTTATCCAGCATTAATATCTGAAACATTGCCCAGAATTGTAGTCCAATGGCAACAATATGGTGTTTCTCTATTTTATTTTATTTTGTTCAATTGACCACTTGCGTAATAGACTAAATTTTGATCTAGACAAAATTTTGATCTAGACAAATTTTTCGTTTGAATCTGTGATGACGAAAGTGCGCATGCGTGTCAGTATAGCTAATACATCTCATAAATGGAAAATGTTCTTCCAAAATGCTAAGCAGGATTGTGAAAGTACTCGATCGTCCCTCAAAACTGCATTTGGATAAGCATGTTGACCATGTTTTGTCTGTTTTCCACTTCAACCATTTAACTATAGTTTCCGCATAATTTTTGGGGCTATGGGACATGCACGAACAACTCAATGAAATACCCTGGGGAGTACAAGCAACATCAAAAATGAAGTTATAATTGATCTCTTTTGTAAATAAGACATGTTTTCGTCGCGTATCATTAACTCAAAGCAGTTGAGAACAATCAAATCACTACATTTAGATTTAGCGTTAATTTGAATTTAAAGGGCTATACTTGTTATATACACACTGTATATGTAGCAAAGATACATTATAAAGAATAACATTTTTCTGAATTCTGTCCTCTCAGCTCAGGTCTCATTACACTAATGGAGTAATGCAGAGTCATAATTATGGCTCTTCTTACTAAAAATAACCTATATAAATATCATATGATTGTTTTGCGTAACCGGTTGGCCGGAAAATTACCTAAGATCAATTCATCATTTCGCCATGAACACGTGTTCATCATTAGTTGTTTTCCATAAAATTAATGAACTGAACGTTTACATAACTGAATTGAAAATGTAAAGCCTCGAGCATTTAACAATGTGACTACGGTCGGAAATAAAATAAGATCATGAACGGTCTAAGCAGGCGATCGCGAGAACAAAACTTATTTATAAGATAAACTTCCTGATCACATGTGTCTTCAGGCTTTAGCGTAGGTGGTCTAGTTGTCAGTTGACCAGTCATACACTTCAAAAACGACGATATTATAAACATTCAATTATCATGACCAGACTGACTTCCGATAATGCAAGTAAGATAACTTAATATCATCTCATCGAAAAATGCTTCAAATAGTATTAATTAAAATATCTATAGTAGATGGGTTTCTTGAATATGGAATTTTGAAACGCATGCAAATATATAGTTGATATTATACATTCAGTTTAGACAAATATATAAGGGTCTATATACCATAGGATTCTTCTATACCGGATTTCGTGCTCAAATGTTCTTACTAGCTTATTACGTAGAATTTCCAATGTAGAACAGTCAACATTTTTTCCCAAGGAAGGACACTAAAATGGTGGGTTAAAATGCATGGTTAGTTGTTTCAATGGCGGCGCCACAGGAAGGAGTGGGGAGGGCACTTTAAGATGGATTTTCTAATTCATGCAAATACGAGAATAGTGTGTGTATGGGTACGTTGGTGGGGGCAAAAAAGAGAGAGGACGTTTGTGCCAGCGAACACGAGGGGGTACGTTCGTGGCAGGGAACAAGATCTAGCAATATAATAACTCGGCAAATTAGTGGAAATGAAAATAGTGGAAATATTTTAAAGCTTGCAACACTTTTCAGCTTCTCTGTCGCTCTGTATATATATATATATATATATATATATATATATATATATATATATATATATATATATATATATATATATATATATATATATATATGTGAGATAGATAGATAGAACGGGTTTGATCAGATCGTAAATTACAGTTTGTATAACTGAATTGCTTACGAGTATTTACAATTGAATTATTTCATGCAAAGAACTAACTATATTTACAATAAAAACTATACATGCTATATAATTGACACGAAATAAATTTAAGAATTTATACACTTATACTATTAGATATAATGAAGGAGTTCTTAAAACGTTCTGTTCGAAACTTAGGGACTAGAAATTTATGACATTTCCTTAAGGGATATATACACCCGTTTCCCTCTGGGATCATTTGATGTAGTTTATGCTTGGTATCCAAGTGTGCTTGAAGGAAAAGTTTTTTACAGGCTGCTTCTCTTCTGTTTCGTAAAGTTTCTAGATTGGCTAATTCGAGCGTCTCTTCATAACTCATAAGAGCATTCAGGAAATATCCTTCTTAAACACCGTCTTTGGATCCTTTCGATATCTGAACACAGGTGCTGCGGTAGGGAGTTGTGGAAAACAGGCGAAGCATATTCTAGCGTCGAACGAATACAGGCGCAATATATTTGGATCAAATCTTTGACAGGAACTTGCGCTCTTTTTAATTGTGTTATTAAATGTAAACGTTTGCTAGCTTTTGATATAATGTTATCGATATGCATTTTCCATTTAAAGGCATTGCTGACAGTAAGACCAAGGGTTTTTGCATAACTATAACAACTTCGATTTCTTTGTGGTTAATGAAAATAGGATGGAGAGAGGTATTTTCAGTTGGTTCTCGTGAGAAGTCGATTCTTAATTCTTTACACTTTTCCTCATTTAATTCAGCCATATTCGAAATTGCCCACGTTTGTACTGCGTCAACTGATTCCTGGATACGACTTTGATCTTTTTTAGAAATTGTTTCAGACAAGGTTGTATCGTCCACATATTTCCACAGACTTTCACAAGATGTTGTTATTGGTGTAGTTAAGTCGTTGATCATTAAAATGTACAGCCATGGGCCGAGCTTTGTTCCTTGTGGTACCCCTGAGCGAACGTTACTCCAATCGGAGAAACAACCATTGTTTAATTTAACCCTTTGCTTCCGATTAATTAGGAAATCGATAATCCAATTAGCTATTTGAGGTGAAAGGTCGAGGGATTTCAATTTAAGAATCAATTGATTATGATCAAGCAGATCAAATGCTTTTCGGAAATCAAACAGGACTATGGAAACCAAGTTACCAGTTTGATCAGCAGCTTGTAGCCATTGGTGCAGCATTGAAACAAGGGCCACAGTAGTAGACGACCGGGCAACAACGCCAAATTGTTTCGGGTCTAGGATCTTCAAAATAGCAGATTTTAGATGTCTTTCTAAAATGAATTCTTCTGCTACCTTCGATAAATGTCCTACCTTCAATATGATAGGGAGAAAATGTTCTCGAGTGAGAATTTCATAATTTCCAGACCGCGCGCAAGCAGAAAACTCTGCCCGCCGCGGCCTGGTTTTGAACCCGCAACCTTGTATATAAGGCTCGGCACGAGCCCCCCCCCCCCCATATTTCATAAAGTGTCCGCCACTTGCTTAAAAGGTCTTAAAACTGTTTATTCTATGGGACTGGGATTTTGCCATAATTTCAGGTGGGAAATGGGAGTGGGACCCCCCTTTAAGGACCCTCATAATAGTCTATCTCAAACAAAACCGTACTGTAATTACAGTTAAGGATTTAACTACAGTGGTTAGCACTAACTACAGTTAGCGCTAGTTACGTTTTCAGTTACAACCGGCCCCGTGAAATAATTATAATTGCCAAACAGCTACACCTTGGTTTAACGTAGACATCTCACGGAAAAACTGCATTCTTTTATGATTTTTGTGGCGGTTTTTCCTTGTTTTCGTGTTTATTTTTTCTGTCTTGAATAAATTTCCCGCCTATTTGCAAAATACGAGTCCACAATCATGTGAAAATGCGTGTCAGCGGTCGTTAATCACTGCTTACTTTATGTAATTTTGCGTTTAAACTCCCCACGCACAGTTAACTATGTGATTAGTTAACTATCTGACTAACTACGTTTTGTGCAACGCAGTTAAATCATGTAGTTAACCAATTGCAGTTGAGGATTTAACTACAGTGATTGACGTTAGCTACAGTTATACAACCGGCCCTTGCTGTTTAACAGGATTGAACAATATTTTTGAGCCTGAATCGGGTGTAACAATATTGTTCAATGTTGTTGACAACTGTGAACAATGTGGGCCGCACAACATTGTTCAATCCCGTTTTCATCAATATTGCGACGACCTGATCGTTTTTAGCTGTGTACCTTATAAACACCATACAAGTTGATTGTGATTAAACACTTAATAATAACATCTTCCATGGTTTCCTTAAAATAGTTAGTTGGTTTCAAAAGACAACGTGGCGGTAGCAAATGAGATCTTTAACATTTGAATAGAAACTTGGACAGACCTACCTTACTCATAACGATTTAAGCCTGTATACATGCACAGACAACATTAATGGTCATTAATGTACTACAGTAGATATAACCAGTTGTGAAATATTTGTGAAACGTCAGGTTAAAGTGTCGTCATGTGACCAAGAATACGAGCGGTTAAGCAATTCCGCGTGAATTGCTAATGAGTATGCATGCCCAAAAATTTGTATGCAGTGTAAAAAAAATTGTAAACCCATGTATAACAGTGCTGTCATAAACGACCCACAAAACGGAGAGATTTAACACAAAATTTAGATTTTAAAATATTCGCAAGGGAAAATGTCCCCGAGCATCCCCCCCCCGCCTCCCCCGCTCCCAGGTTAACAGCATATATAACACTTGAGTTGAAATCATTCCTCGCATTATTAGAGAGTTAATGCACAATAATGACGAAGTCACAAAACAAATTGCAATGACCTTTGCAATAATTAATATGTAATTTTTCTTGCACATAGCATAGAATAAAGATCCATATAGAAGGGCCACTTACGTCGGAAGCTTTGAAGTTTCTGTCCTCGCGCATGTCGCATTACGCATGTTGGCCGCCATTTTCCTAGCCAGTCAATGACATTTTCTGGCCAATAAACACGCTGTACTGGCTGGCTGCTCCGCCTTCTGGCCAGTAAACTGCATATTTTTGCATAAAAAAACGAGGACACGTTGCACCCCTGAGTGGCCCTTCTATATGGATCTTTATTCTATGCACATAGTTTCATAATACTATAATAATAGTCAATAATTTCCGTGAAGTTGTACCGGTGTATGTCGTAGTGAAAGTAGAGGTTATGGTTCTGATAAACTATGGGTTCAAAGATAATCGATATATACTCTGATAAAGAATTATTAAATGGGAAAATTGAATCAAAATAAATATGAAAAAAATTTAGCAATATAACGTAAAAGGAACTATTTACAACAAGAGAAGGACACGTCGCTATGAAGTAAGTTATGCAGGATATTGTGTTCTAAATTGAACAATGGGCATTACAAAGTCTCTTTCAATCCGAAATTTCAACTTAAAGTTTGAGTCGTCCCAGTCCCCTAACATACCGAAACGAAACGCGGCCATTATTGAGGAAAACAAACCAGACCTGTGCATCATTGTGCATCATGGATTCCATGAAAAATTATATGCCAAACCCTAATTTCAAGTCTAAAGTTTGCAAAAATCAAGAATGATTTTGAACTGAAAATAATCGAGAATAATGTACGATTATTAATAAAATGCCTTTGCAATGCGAATAATTAATCGAGATAATTATGATTAATCGAGAATAATGTAACGTCATTCAACGCTGGCAAGGGATTAGGAACGAGTTAGTGTTTCTCTTTATTGTGAGAAAGCGCAGAAGGCCTGGGTACAGGCCTTGGGCGCGAGGACAGTTCAGCACATGATGGTCAATACTGAGGGGAAGGATTTTTAACACATGTGTAACTTAATTGTTCACTATATTTATTGATCTTATGTTTGGTAACAAATACGTGTACTGGAAACATTTAGCATCATTTGCCACTCTCATAATTGTCAATACATTTGAAATTGACCATCATGTGTAGCACGATATAAAATACTTCACTGAAACCTACCTGTATACAGAGTTCAAGAAAGAAAACAAACAAGTCAAAACTCTGGTCAAAACTTCATTTCAATGTTTCTACTTTATTGTTTTCTTTGACTGAAATATGTACATTAAAATTGAACTCACTTTTATTCCACACCTTAACTAATTATATTAAATGCCAAATTAAATGTTCCATATTACCAAAATATATACTATGCTTAAAATGCCTTAGTTTGACATTACTAATATATGAGTACATTATCTGCGTGCAATTGCGAAGGATATATTGTTGTACTGCTAAGCATATATTAATTATATATTAAACAATATATATCTATATATTGTTTAATTATGAACGTTTAAACGTCAATTCATATTTCTACTTTAAGGATATACAAAATTATCAATCTTAATTTAACTGCGTAAACTCTTTGGGCTAGATGTAAAAAGGTTCCCAAGCTATACACATGCATGTATGGTCCAGAGCTAATAATTTGTTTTATTATTCTCACTGCTATACCGGCCAATGTTCTCCAGTCACTGGATCATTGTTCCCAAACGTTTTGTGCTGGAAAATCTATTGTTGTATTATCGCCAATCGCCATACACATTTCTGAGGACGTACTCATTTACACATAATGGAAGTATCTGCTTAAATGTGAGGCTTTTCTTTCTTACAACAGCAACAGGACCACTTGGATGAGATGTGATGGATGGTCAGGTTTCGGCATAACTCGTCTTACAAATCAACATTGAGCTTTGCAGTTCGCCTGTCTCAGTGTAACAGACAAGGAAGTATGAATCTTTCTCCATGACATAGGTTAAGACAATTATTTTACGAATGGCATCGTGAAATGCCATCCCACGGTCCTTGTGACCTTCTGGTAGTTTTATTGTCGACTTCAGATTTCCTTTCTCGGAGTAGAAGTTAACATCCTTGTCATCGCGTGATGATATCATGATTTCATCTTTATTTGAAATACCCAACCAGCAGGTACGCCAATGGTGTGTCCTTCGAATATGCGTTTCAATTGTCCCACGGCATTGTCACAGACATAAACATGAGGATCACGGCCTTTGATCATGATGATATTATTGTTCTTGTTTATAGCGGTCATCACGAAATAAGCACTATCGGAGGCTGTACATCACTTGCAGGGTCTTAGCTGGGATTTTAGAACTTGGGCGTGTTTCTAAATGACCAGGGTGTGCACATGTCAATTACCTCAAATAGCCAAATTTGCGGTTTTAGTTATGGTCGCCAACAACAGACCATGCCTGTGGTTGTTCTATGCTTTGCAACCAAATACAAGGCAAGCATACGCTCATATATTACGCACTGACATTAAAATATTAAGTTTTTTCAGTAACTCTTGGGGGTATTTAAAACCATTGTAACATCATACAGTTCCCATTATCCACCAAAACATTAAAACATCACATGCAGATCACTTTCGCCAATTTCAACAATAACCGTAGATTTTACAAACTTTCTTACAACGTATACAGTGAATAGGAAGAAATTCTGTCTGTTATTTTATGAACCTACACAGCCTTATATAAATAATGAAACCGCATTCATTTTATCTAGCCGTGTTTTTCCCTTTTTGGCCGCGATAACACGGCCAACACGGCCCTCTGGCTAAGACCCTGTGTACATGTAACCTGAAGGAAATCAAACCAACAAACGCGTTTTACGTTATAATTTTCATCCAGTACATTCAGCCAGGAATTTCGCACATCGCCGCTATTTTCCGTACGTGTTTCAATCTAACAACATAAACGTTGTTATTCTTATCAACAGCGAGCCCTGCGATACATTGCTTGATAATTTCACCTTCTCTGGAATCTGGCAATTTAATCACCTTGCCTTCTGCTGTTCTCGAAGTCACTTTGATGTTATCTCTCCGGCGAAGGTCTCCAACAACCACATTCCCACAAAAGTGGACACATTCCGTCATCAAGTATTAGCAGCTTGGGAGGTTGACCCAATTCATCACCCATAGACTTTCTTGTGGAAACCTCCTGCCAATCTAATATTGGGTTAAAACTGCGATCAGTAAGTTCAATGCCAGGCCATGTTAGGGACTGGTCATAAAGTAACGACTAGGGTGGGCTGGAGGTAAATCACAAATTTTGCCAATAAGTTCGGTGACCCATCTTAGGATGGTAAATAAAAATTTCAAAGCCCATCTAATCTTACAAAACATTTTTCAAGACCCACCCAATCTAAATTGGGAAAATACACTTTTATAATAATCAAAGACTTGCAGGTATGAACATTGTAAATATACACGGCACTGTATTGACACTGAGCTGCTCTCCAGTTGCATGGTTGTACTTGCTGTGATTCGAGCACTTCTTGTTGTTGTATAAACAAAGTACTGGCTTCAGTAGCATCATCTGCATTTGATAATTTGGATAGTTTTGTTTACTTTTGTTATTAATATCTTTATTTTCTGAAGTAGACATGCATGGGTTTTTGTTTGGTGGCCCAACCGTGGACATACAAAAAAATTGGCGGTCCATCAAAACTGCCCAAAGATTTTCCATGGCCCATCCCAAATCACTCCAGCCCACCCTTGCAGATACTTTATGACCAGTCCCTTAAATTAACCTGTCAGCAAGTGTGCGAATGAATTTGAATTTAAGATTAAACAAAACATAGCCAGATCAACATCATAGATTTTACGTTCTCTGCTCGTTCTGCTTTACCCAACAACGACTTGACACCGCCATTGAGATAAACGGAGAACATCCCACGGATAGCTGGTAAGCTATATGCAGATCTTGAAGAAACGACAGACACCCTGTGATGGCGGTTTGAAGACTATCGAGGCATTCCAGTATCTCAGAAACAACACGTAGATTGGCGGCGAAGATTTTATCGTTAATGTTTAATGCCGCATTGCAGAAAGCATTGGTTGCTCTCTTACAAACATCTTTAAACCTCTCTTTAGCGGATTCAAACTCTTTGTCAGAGTAGATTTTTAACTCTCCCATGGCGTGAGAAAGTTCCAAGGCTTCGTTGACTAAGATCCAAGACTCGCGGACACCGCTCGACATTCTTGATGTTTCACCACGCCCACGGTCTTGTTGAGTTGGGTCCATCACAGCTTTCTCCAGCTTTGATTTATCAACAGAAACGTAGATTAAATCTACTCCTTCTTTCAGGAATCGGGAGCTGCTGAGTAAATTTACACGTGAAAGATCATCAATTCGCCATGATGTCGTTCAACTCTCTCACAACAATTTCTCGAATTTTCGCATCTATGACATCGCCGTCCTTCAGTTTAGCCGCAGTCGAGCCGCGAGCTTTGTTCCATAACAAGCCTACGGTTGAGCTTAAAATACTCGTAATAATGGAAGTCATATCTCAATTCAATACAACGATGGGACTTCGGTGGCGCAGTGCCGCAGTCATGAGAACAAGCCCCTTTCAGCTCTGAGATTGTGTGTTCGATTCTCGCTACGGACTCATGTGAAAAGAGTCAGTCAACGCTCTGCCAAAAGTCGTGGGCTTTTTCCGTGTGCTCCGGTTTCCTACCACAGGGAAAGTTCAAAGGGTTGGGATAAATACAGCTAAGAAAGTAATATCTCGATTGTTGGAAAGATAAATAGTCTAGGCTAAGTAAGTAACATAAGCGGTAATCGTAATACTTGATGTAATTGGTCACTGGAAAACCCCAATGGGGAGTGAGCTGAATAATACTGTAGTGTAATGTAACGATCCATAATTTGGAATATATCCAAAGGCATTCGCGCATGAAATATATAATGAGAATGATGTAATTAATCCTATAGCTATGTTGTTCATGTCACACATGTTGACTGACACTGAATTTCCTGACACTGAATTTCATTTTTAGTCGCCAGTATAGTTAAACACATTGAACATCATGGTGCCATTTATAATATATCTAAGAAATTTTAAAACCTATTTAAAGGTAAATATTAAACCTTCTTCAAACGTGAAAAACATCGCGTGTCAGCTAATTAACATATGCCGCGCTCTAAGAAATACAAAATTAAATCTTTTGCCAAAAGTTGGTTTTCAGTTAAGACTTTATAAGATGCTTTTCAGTTAAGACTTTATAAGCTGGTACTTTAAATAATCATTAAACTCATCAAACAACAAAGCACATCAATAAAATGAATCAATAGCAAATGTGTGGTGTCATGAGAAAGATTAATAAAAATACCGATCATGCGTCAGCAGCTAGTTGTTACCATGATATTTTCAAGTTCGATAATTTTCGGTAGTTTCTACACGAACAATTTGTCTTCAATAAGATTTTAAAATCTCTCAGATATAGAGACAACCATAACGTAAAAGTATATATATATATATATATATATATATATATATATATATATATATATATATATATATATATATATATATATATATATATATATATTAATCTTAAAAATTGTATATGTTGCTACAATATATATATATATATATATATATATATATATATATATATATATATATATATATATATATATATATATATATATATATATAGGTCATCATATAAGGGATGAGGTGATATCAGTTTTATCGCTCGAGGGATGATATCACAATTGTCTGCACGAGCGAGCGCAGCGAGCGAGGGACAATTGTGATATCGTCCCGAGAGCGATAAAACTGATATCACCGAGTCCCGAGTACGATAACCTATTTATTATATACTTGTACCTTTATCCAGGGTTTGACACCCAAAAATAAACAGTTTTGAAAAAATAGGATCATTTCAGAATTCAAAAAAATTCATCATTTACTGAACAAATATGATTTTAGAAAATAAATAGACCATTCATATAAATAATATACAACTTAAGTCTTTCGTTTAATTTTGTATTATCGTTCTTGTTTTCTTCGATAAAACTGTCGACATGAACCAATACGAACCTCGAGTCGGCCATCTTTGTTTTGACAAGGCGCGAAATTTAGCGGGACAAAAAACGATATCCGGAAAAAAAAAATTATATATATATATATATATATATATATATATATATATATATATATATATATATATATATATATATATACGATATATCGAGATATATATAAGAGACAGATATATTTTCTGTGTTTCTATAATGGTTTCTACACTGTTATAACAACACGCGTCGAAATTTGTAAGAACGAGAGATAATCAGTAGACCAATCAGTACCTTGATTTGAAAAGCGGCCCGTGAGCTGCAACTTTAGATCACCCCTGATGAAGACACTAGACTTGAATGTCGAAACGTTGGGTCTTGATTACAATTCGACTGGGCTGCTTGTATTCGCTCGCTACTCGGCTCTATATAAATGAATACAAGGAAGGAAATGTTCTGTCATTTGCGTACAAACTAACTCGAATGTGTACTAGCGCCTGTGTACAGACATTACTCTCGACGAAGCGAGAGTTGGATGAAGATTCCTTGTTCTGGTCATGTACATTTTCCTCAGATTTGGGGAAAGGCCTTGGATTGGACAGTGCTTTATTTGAATACTTTATGATAAATGAAGCTATTATGGTTAATTGATAATTAGCAAGCATTTAGCATGCGTCAGCATTGTTCGCATTCAAAACAAATCTCTTCATCGAGAAATATATGCAAAATATTATATTTACAGATTATATTTCAAGTCTTTCAAACTTTTGTATGCCCAGAAGGAAATTTTGATTCTTGAGGAAATCTCTGAATTTAAAATTCTTGTGCTGTTGTTTTAAACGCATGCTAATTATCAATTAACCAATGAATTAGCTTCATTTGTCATAAGTTATTCAAATAAAGCACTGTGCAATCGGAGGCCGTTCCCCAAATTTGGGGAAGATCCACGTGACCAGAACAAGGAATCTTCATCCAACTCACAGACGTTCTCTCTCGCGCTTCGTCGAGAGTAACGTCTGTATACAGGCTAATGTGTATCAAGCACCGCAGTTTTCTTAGAAACACGCTTTAATTATCATGGTTTTTCTGTGTTCGTGTAATGTACTCAGGTGAATATGATGCTTGTGATGTTACTCTGAGTGTATAACAACAACTCTTTAATTAATTAGTTAGTTGTCACGGATTATCAAAAAACGTCTTGTCAACATCCCCCCAAAACTCGTATTATGAACTCAGTTAGCTATAATATATTATATATCGGTTTCATATTAAGTACAGCGTTCAATAATAAATGTGTTTATACTAGTTGTGTTTGAACCGCAAATTGCTTCTACAAGTTTACAAAAACCAATGGGTGATAAAAAATTAATCTATAATTATGCATGGCCATGAGAGTTTTGGAATCGCGAACTCCTTCATGATCACGGATTGTATATGCAGTTTATTAGTGCTAGTATGCCATCCATTACTATAAAACAGCTACTGTAGGCCTTGGGGCTATAGGATTGCATGGGACCGGCTGCAATTACAGTAAATTTTATCAGTGAACAGTGTATGCGAACAGTAACTTTAGTGCAGTTACGTTGGCACTTAAATCGAGTTAATTAGTGTCATACAATTTTCATCCAAACTGCTTTGAATGTTTGTCTTTGGAAGAGGTTTAGACCCCATCCAAACGTATCCGGATTTGTTTGTATCCTGCGAAAACGTAACGAATTCAACGAAACGGGTGTGGATGCAGTTTGGAAAACGATGACTTAAATAGATGAAAATTAAGATGCATCCACGCTAATAACACACATTACGGTCAGAAATTAGAAAAGTATCTCGTCCACGCTGATCTATATACATTTAAAAGAAGCTCGACTATATTTTCTGTCCAAACAAAGCCAGGTATCGCTCTAATTTTTCCTCTTCGATTCAATCAATTTTTCTTCAGATTTCGACACGTTCCTTGTTAGTATGCGCTAACATACAGTACATGCACCAATTAGGAATAGATTTCGCAATGTTTTCCGTCTCTGCATATGTACAATTGGCAACAAAACCGAAGGAATTTTCGAGGAAGTGATTAGCGGATTGCCAGGTTTTGCTCGCGCGTTCGTCGCTCCACCAAAGCGTGCTTGCGACTTGCAAGCAAAAGATCATAGTGAAAATAAGTAAATAACACTAACAACTACATCGTGGGCTTATTACATTCGATAGCGCTTGCTTTGCAGAGCGCATTCATATCGTTTTTGCAGATACGCGTGAACGGTCGAAAACGCAACCAATCCGCCGGATGAGTGTGCAGGACACGCGCTTTTTTTTAATCCGCAAAAAATGTTTTGTCCGATACAAATCCGCGGTTACGTGTAGACGGGCCCTTACATTGTAAGTGCATGCACTTTGAGCACCAAAACATACGCCCGTATTCTCTAAGCTCACTCATGCACACTCACACTCAATGAATGGAGGTTTAATAGTGAGTTTCTCTAATTCAATGTGTGTCAATACTGTTTTTGAATAGCTGGAGGGTGAGTAGTCACATAGTAAAGTACGACACTAACCCTCCAGCTATTCAAAAACAGCATTGACACTCAAGAGAAGCTCAGATTGAATCTTCACTCATTGAGTGTGAGCTTTCAGAATACGGGCGTGAAAGCTTGTCGACTAACGCCTGTATTCTAAAAGCTCACTCGCACTCAAACAGTGGAGGTTCAATTTGAGCTTCCCTTAGCTTAAGTATATCAGTGATGGGATGTTTTTGAATAGCTGAAAAGTCTCGTACCTTAGTCCTTACTATATGTGACTACTCACCATCCAGCTTTTCAAAAACATCACTGACACTCAAGACTAGTCAAGGGAAGCTCAGATTGAACCTCCACTCTTTGAGTGTGAATGAGCTTTTAGAATACACGCGTAAGTCTGTCGAAGAACCTAGTGAGTAGTGTAAATTAATTCACCAGCATGATTATTGTTTTGACTTAATTAATAATGTTTTTCGAGTTTGTATGTAAACAAATTTAGTTGCACTAATTGTCACCACGTGGTGATGCCTAAAATAATAATGCATTTCAATGAAGAACGAATTGAATGAGCTTTGACTTTTCTCGTATTGTAATGCAAAATTTTAGGGACTCGTCCGGAAACTCGTATGTTATGGATTTGCTCTGATGTAGCAACAACTATATAGGAAATATTACTAAGAGCTAAGTGAAACATTATCTTAGCTAAATCAAAATTTGCAAACGCAACATACGTACTTGAGTTGAAATTTGCATACTGAATATTATAGTAAACAGTTCATTGGCTGAGCGTGAGTAAATACAGATCATCATCTTGTATTTTCATGTCAGTTTACTATATTTGAGTTCAAACGTTACGTCATGTGGAAATAATATGTCAAACTAGTTTGTCCTTCTTTTCAGAAACAACATGGAAATGGCATGGGGATTGTTTATAAAACTGAAAACCTTTATATATTTCACATCGTTATTTCTCTTCACGCTGAATTTTAAATCAGGTAAGCAGTTGTATATATACATATAATTTATTCACTACGTTGTTCCACATTAGTGGAACAGACCTAAACTGAAAATGAACTGGAATACGTGGCTCGTAGAGGCCGCTGCACAATATCCACGATGTCTCAATAACGATTATCTGGCAAAGAAGGCAAGGGGAAAGCGAGAAACTGATCGGGAGAGAATTCGAGATTTCAAGAAGTTTTAATTAAGACCGCTTGAGATGAGACTCAATGTCGCGAATCATTCGAGATTAAAACCCTGTTGAGTCTAGTATTCTCGTTATAAGTCATGATTTGATTATTCATCTAATTTTTCGAATTTCGACACTCAAATTTGCCATTTATTTTAAGGGGCATAAGACTAATAATATAGCTACATCTGATATAGTAATATATAATACGGTTCGTATAATTTTTTAGTTTTTGATTGAGATACAAATTAGACGTATATATGCATACAGTATGCACAACAGACATCGATAAGTTATTTAAACTGATATTATATTTCCAGCGTTTTCTGTATAAATATCCTCAGAACAAAACAAATTTCATGAAACAAATAAAGTATGAAACCATCTCATAAAAGTTCAATCTTACAACTCTTGGTAATAATATAAATTCGAAATATTACTGTTGATTCTTGTATCCCTTATTTGATGAAATATCGAATTAGTTCAAAATGAATAAGTGAGTAATGGACCATTTGCATTATAGACTACATTTTGATCTAGACAAAAATTTCATCACAGCTTCAAAGAGCATCACAAAATTAGTAATATTCCAAAGTTTCGTTGCGAAATGTTGTAAAATGCGGATAATGTGGCCTTGCGAAGTTTGCCGTTTTTCAGTCATTTTGTATTACGCACGGGAAATTGACAGCCCAATCGGGTGTTGGGGCATCAATTTCCCGTTTGTAATACAAAATTGACTGAAAACTGTAAATTTCGCAAGGCTATATTATCCGCATTTTACAACATTTCGCAACGAAACTTTGGTATATTACTAATTTTGTGATGCTCTTTCAAGCTGTGATGAAATTTTTATCTAGACCAAAATGTAGTCTATAATGCAAATGGTCCATTGGGACCGCGAGAGCTAAGCTGAATTTCGAAGGACGCAGCTCGACCTTCATGATCGAGTCGAAGCTAGGGCGCCCGTCTCGTAGCCACCATATCACTCATGCATCTGATCAGGGAGCACGGCTACAGTGGAAGGGTCATGCAGTAAGGGGCTATTTCATCTTAGGTGCTAATCGCTACCCCCTCCCAACCTCCAACCCCCATGCACCTCACCCTGTCAACATTTTCTGTGGGAGGAAAGTCAGGAATCCGGAGTACCCAGAGAAAAACCCACGACCTTCGGTAGAGAGACTCTTTTCACATACAGTAAGTGCATGTCATGTGTTTGCAGCGAGAATCGAATCCACGAGACTCTTCCTCTAACAATTGCACAACCGAAGCCCCAAATGGAATTTTTATTCGGAGTTTGTCTCACAGTTTATTTCAGAAATAACAACAAACTATGTTGGTTGTTTTTCACATCCTGTACTTTTACTAAGTGCCCGTACGTAACACGCATTCAAGAGCAGGTGTTCTCGGTCGCTATGGCACCATTTGTGTTACTACAATTATTATTTGAGCGTGGGCGATGATAATTTAATAAAATCTACCTGTATATTGCCTGACAAGAAAACTGGCGCCAATATATATCGCAGTCGAGTACGAGTTTTATTGCTATCAATCGTATGAAGGTTTGATTCAATGATCATTATAGCGCCATGTTTTGATCAAGTTATTTGAATCCTACTGTGTTGCGTTCTGACTGTTTTGGCCGTAAGAAAAAATCTCTATATAACGACGTGTATATTATATATATATTATATATATTAGGAACAACTTAACAAAGAAAACCAGCAGGTTAATTTTGTCATGTCAGTTACGTTTCTGAATTAGCTTTAAGCGGTCATGAGTAAAAAATTACCGATTAAACGTTATTGAAAAGGACAACAAATGAAGACTAAAAAAATTTTTTTTTTAACTTTTTCAAAATTACGTTGTGCCTATTCAAATTGCCTTGCGGTTTTTAAGGAGCAACATGCAGTAGTGGAAGCTTTGTACGATCTTTATATTTCATGCCCATTTTTTCAAAAATGTTCAACAATAAAAAACTAGTTTTTGAAATAGTTTTTGACTAAATATTTTTATACTGGATCGAGGTTTGTTTATAGCATTTTGCAGCCACCATTGTTCCTACTGTATATTTAACAATTATTGAATGAGGTTGAGCACGATATGAAGAATTATCAAGCCCGAAGTTTGCCGTTATCAACCGAAGCCGAGAGCTGAGGTTGATAACGGAAAACTGAGGGCTTGATAATTCTTCATACTGTGCGAAAACCGAATTTAAAAAATTAAAAACAAACGGAAGAAGCCATTTGTATATTTTATTTCTATTAAGAAAAAAACAATTCCTTAGTCCTTCGGCAGCCGTCGACGTCGTCATATCAATGGCGTCAGCGAGTCAATATGATTCTCGCGTCATAGTAATATGGCGCAAACGCGTCCAAATTTTGTTCATATTGACTCTTCGACGTCATTTTGCTAATATGAATGTGAAAAATCCATACTGATTTGGTTAGCCATTGAGTTGATATGACAATTTCACAGTTGGCTGTTAGCCAATCAGAAACCAGGAATTTTTTAAATAAATAATAAATACTCTTAATGCCGTTTTGCTACTGTTGTGCTGAGAACAAATATAAACTGAAAAAATTACCTCAAATTTCTCGCAGGAAGAATAATGAAAGAATAATGAAAAAATAAAGAATAATGTATTAAGCTCGTTTGATGGCTTTGTTCCGCTAGTGGTTTGACCTAGTGTTCTCGTGATAATATGACGTACCAAACAGCACATGCAGTTTGTTTCAAACCAGCTGCATGCTCCCCTCCGTTTTGGGAGAAGATGCCGGAAAATTTACGATGTACTGTATCGGAAATTTTGAGCAATTATAAAATTTGAGACAAAGATAATAGAATAGAATTTCTACTGTATAAAGACTAAAGAGTTTGAAATTGTTACCAAACATGACATATTGACTGCCGTTGGTATGGTAATCAATAACAGTGTGCGCCGTTTCGATATGGCCAATATTGTGCCGATAAACTACATAAAAGCGGCTTGAGATCCCAACTTTTTATTTTTTCTAATACTTCTTCGCAAAAATCATGTTATACAATTTTATAGAAGCATCAGTGGAATTTTCATTGCATATTTCACTGTTTGTGGCAGGTGCTCTTATTTTTAGCACTTTTGTGTGCTCTTGTAATTAGCTCCTCAAATTTGTAAAAAAAAAGCACTTTAGACGCAGCGAGAGAGATAAGCACGCCCACATTTACTAGTCATGGGAACTGTCCTTTTAAAGTAGTTCTTCCTTTGCAATATAGTAACAAAATTAATTTTATTTATAAATTTTAGAGATCTTTCATGTTTTTTATATATTGTGATGAACCCTGGTATGGAACATAATATTCGCATTATTTTGTTGTGCAAGTGACTTCTAAGCGTATATCTAGATTTTACATTTGTGGTTGCTCCTGATATGTTTTTGGAAGGAACAAAACAGCTGTTCAACCTCGCATGCTCTGAGCTTGCCTCTTGCGCGTCACGTATGAATGAGGACACGAAAAGAATTTAACCTCTTCAATTGAATTATACAGATATCATGTCGTTTTCAATGGAATAAAACCGGTAGTACAGACAAGTTTCTATCGGCGTGGTTATATGGGAAACAAAATTTAAACGGGAATAAAAAATGTTTCATCGCCTATTGCCGGTTAAGAGAATCTATTTTCCCACGTTCAAACCAATTTACTATAATTATTTCCACAAGCGTAACGCTTTTCTTATGTTAATTGTTTATCAGCTAGGAATCAAAACACACCGAGAGTAAATAAATTGATAACCAAACCACAATTACCAAACATGCTACTGAAGTGCGATGGCGTAGCCATAATTATAGGACGCAAGGTATAAAAGTTTACGAAAGAGAGGCATTGAAGAAAGAAACAACAAAATAAATTTGAATGAAACTCAATACCTAGCTAGCCCTTTCCATGTCTGAATATTTGACCAGCAAAACAGAATGATGATATCAGCATTGCTGTATTTGGTTTGCACCCGTATTCTCTATTCAGAGTACTAAATTTAAGTCAGTCAAGTTCGTACCCAGGGCTTTTTGCCTTCTCGGTTCTATGATGCGCAATATTCATATGATCTACAAAGATATACCATGCAAGCTATCCTTTCTGCGTCTGATCCCCACTCAATATACATTCGGCATTCGTTACTAAAATATATGCACAAATAGCTGGAATCGAGTGGAATATAAACGCTGCTATAATTAAAACTCTTTGTGCAACCATATTCAACGTATTATTCGATAGTCAACGAGCCATGTTGAGAGATGAATTTTGTTGCTTCAAACAAGTTGTCTAAGAATAAACTGTCTTTGAAAATAGTCCAAATACTTCTATCATCGAGATACGATAGTCACTAGTCAGTTAGATTGCTCCAAGTCTCTCTTTCATTGTCATATCGATCCACTATAGTGTACATTACATGACGTAGCACGGAGAGGCGGAGCGAGAAAGAGAGACTTGTCAACTTCGGAAAATCTCGGTTCAAAACTGAACCGAAAATGCAAGACTTGCTTTAATTATTTTCCTTCAATTTCTTTCTGTATATTTACTATAATGGAACTCATGTTATTTACACTGCATGTGCTAGATCAATACATATAAACACTGACAGGAAACAATTAAAGCAAGTCTTGCATTTTCGGTTCAGTTTTCTCGCTCCGCCCCTCCGTACTACGTCATGTAATGTACACTATAGTGGATCGATACTATATGACAATGAAAGAGAGACTTGGAGCAAGTCTACTAGTCAGTAGGTAAAGTATTTCACGAATTTCGCGCGACAAATTTTCCAACGTTACGCCCCTGTAATTAATCTGGACTGAGAAGACCTGCATGCCTTATGTTTCTTCCAATCTTCCCACTACAAAACTCCTTTCAACCAAGCATAGGATATTGTTACAAATTCTTCTTCTATTTCCAGTCTTTCAAATTTTTCGTTAAACATTACCCGGATCGAAACATCAAATGACAAGATTATTTGGCTCTGCATAAAACGGATCTATTTTAATTTTCTTTAATATTATTTTAGGACGATGTCAGCTGCAGATTGGAAAAGAGTCTGCAGACTTTGATGGACGTTCAAATGATTTCAAAAGTCTATATTGCTCAGTGGCTGGACACGGTGAAAAAACATACGAATGGTACCACAATGGCAATCTTGTCAGTCCGCAATATTTTTCAAAAGGCTTTATTTCAACTAACAGTGATACACTAACTGTAAAGGCGCGAAATGTTAATCGGAGATACCAAGGAATTTATCAGTTATTTGTTTCTTCTGCGTTTGGAAGAATATTTTGTCGAAAGATCAAAGTAAGATTCAAAGGTATGTATGTACCCTTTCTACTTCAATAAGAATATACACCTACTTGAATTAAGATTTTCACAGGCAATGGACCAAAAGTACCAAATCAATCTCATTTGCTATCGTGGTCTTTCTGTAGTTTCTGTTCTGATGGCTTTATTGCCTTTTGCGGCCTTGTTGTAATAGAGACGTTCAGTTTTAACTTCCACTACCACTACCGCTACACTAATGGACTATTAACCAATACGATGCGTTCAATATATCCGATTAACCAATCAGATGCGTATTATTAAGCCAGTGGGAGGTAGCGGCAGTATCAATCAAACCTGAACCTCTCTATGCAACACTTTTTGGAAGAATAGTTACAACCTTGCATCTACACACTAACATGTGGGTGGGCAAATTTATGTTTTACGATCATGTATTTAATATCTGCATGTAATACCAGTAGCATCCCCCTCCCCCAACCACAATGACCTCCAGAACTGTTCTTCTGTAAAGTTAAAATCCTGGAAAAAGACGAGAGGGAGTTTCAATGTCAGGGATAAAATATTTTTTATGGTTATACTTTTACTTCAAAACTCGTCTAAGTATGCGAGAAATGCCGTTCTGGAGGCCGTGGAAATTCCAATATTCTTCTGGGCACCATTTTCCCGGACCCTCTACCCTAGAGTTCTTGCGGCAATGACACACGTGTTCGCAATTTAAATTTGTTTCCCCCTTTCCCTCCAAACCACCAACCTCCCCCCCTCCCCCCTCAGAGAAAAAGAAAATGCAGACCCTGTTTACGCTACTGCTTAATAGGCAATAAGAATAAGTGATATATAGTTTCCCTCCTAATACATGAATTCTTTGAAATACGTCAATGAAATAATTTTAGGATTGCTTTTTCACCTACAGTACTCATTTTTGAATGCAGTGCATCCAAAAGCGCATGCGGCCGATTCATTCGTGGCGGAGGGTCACTCTACAGTTTACCCGAATTTTTAGTGAAGATTGTAGTAAAATAACCTTATTCAAGCCCCAAAGGGCTCTGGAGGACCCAGTAAGAATTGCTTGAAATTTAAAAGGATTACGTAACTAATTTTTTATTAATGAATGGTTTCGCTTTTTGGAATACACTTTGTATTTCACTTGCGTTGTTATTGTTTCCAGTTGCTGGAGATTTTGGCAGTGATTCTGCACTACCAGATATTCGTCAAGTGGTTGAAGGTCAACCTTTCCGTTTGAGTTGCCCAAAACATTCCTACATGAGAGGTTGTTCTTACAAGTGGGGAGGAAATAGTCATGCTGTTGGTATGAGATTTGTGAAAGAATATCGCAATCGTGTAATTCTTCCTGATGGAACCTTGTTCTTCTCCGCTATAACAAGGCAAGATATGTTGGATTTTGGCTGGAAAGATGGTGGTTATCAATGCATAATGGACTGTGTTTTCACAGGTGGATTTCACAGTATGACCAGATCTCACAAAGTTGGCTTGAATGCAACAGGAGGCAAGGATGCAACAATTTCATGACTATATTTTATGATATTAGTATAATAACTGGTAAATTCTGTCGTATACGATTCGTATCCTGGCGTATGAAATTTACTCCTGACGCCACAATTCTTCTTCATTCAAATTATGGCGAAATTTGAAATGCAACCACGTTACGCGTGCTTATTCCATTACATACTCTAGAATATCAGAATCGTACACGACAAATCGCAGCGTGTAAACGCACAACGGGATTGGCATAAATTAAATATGCTGAAATCCGGGAAAGAGATATAAACCTCGTACGATTTGCATGTAGTGCAAATGTTTAAACGCTGCACTCGTTTGTGTAACATACGTGTTTTATTGCGTTAAATTAAGTATTGTTTACCATTTTCTACAAAATATTTATTCTATTAATGGAACATATTTTCAGGGTGTCGTGTTAATATAGTAACGATGTTCACTGGCACCTTTGCTTTATTTGTTCTACCTTCGGCTGTATGTGTTATTTTCAACATTTTTATTTTTTTTCAGTGAATGCATCCAGCTTTGGACCGAAGATTATAACAATGATCAAGGACAGGGAAGTCGTTTTGGGGTCTAAATATGTATACGTGACCTGTGCTGCTGCTGGAAGGTATTACGTCTTCCTTACGTTATGGAGTCTTTGACATGTATTCCAAAAGCTCATCACTCACACTCAAAGAGCGGAGGTCAATCTGAGCTTTCCTTGAGTGTCGGTGCAGTTTTTGAATAGCTGGAGGGTTACGCCTGCATTCTAAAAGCTCACTCAAAGTGAGCTCGAGTGTCATTGCTGTTTTTGAATAGCTGAAGGGCTAGTGTCATACCTTATCATGTGACTACTCACCCTCCAGCTATTCAAAAACAGCATTGACACTCAAGAGAAGCTCAGATTAAACCTCCACTCATTGAGTGTGAGTGTGAGTGAGCTTTTAGAATACAGGCGTTCGATCTGTATCATAAATGCTTGCCAAGACAAAACGGAAATATCTTTCTTATACTGAAATCTTCTCTAAATGGAATAAATGCTACATACCATAAAAAACTATCAGAATGCGAAAGGAAGAGTCGTTATCTCTGCGCCGTGCCTGTTATGATCACTTTGTCTATATTTCGAAATTCAGATTCAGTGCCCAATAGACCTTTCCCCTTATGAGTGAAATTTTGATCTAGATATGCCTGGACAAACATTTCATCACAGCTTGAAATAGCATCACAAAATTAGTAATATTCCGAAGTTTCGTTGCGAAATGTTGTAAAATGCGGATAATATAGCCTTGCGAAGTTTGCCGTTTTTCAGTCATATTTTGCATTACAAACGGGAAATTGATAATCAGATGATCAAACTGATTATCAATTTCCCATTTGTAATACAAAATGACTGAAAAACGGCACACTTCGCAAGGCTATATCATCCGTATTTTACAACATTTCGCAACGAAACTTCGGAATATTACTAACTTTGTGATGCTCTTTCAAGCTGTGATGACATTTTTGCCAAGACTTGTCTAGATCAAAATTTCACTCAAAAGGGGAAAGGTCTATTCTCCATGAATGTTGCAATTATGGTTAAGGATTTTTGAAGTAGAACCACCTATACGTCCGATCATTAAACGCGACTTGTTTTTATTTCTGGTGCAAGAAGTACATTTGCTCACAATCCACATTGCAAAATGTAATCTCTAATTAATTAATTTTTCGAGAGTTCAATGTTGTAATTGTAATTATTATATGGCAAGCATCACTTCCGGTGAAATGGCGGATTGTGATTGGCTGAGAAGCACTTTCAGCGATCCATTATTATCCCGAAATGGACCGGCGGTCCATTACGTAAAAACAAACGAATGCAACACTATTAATATGCATTTCAAATCATACACTTATTGTTTGTTTCACGTATAAATGCCATATCAGTAAACTTTTTATTAACCTATCGCTTGCTCGGAGTGTACAGGGAAATATCGGACCTCGGTCCTTTTGTAGAAGCCTCGCCCTACGGCTACGGGCTCGGTCTGTACGAAAAAGACCTTGGTCCGTCATTTCTCTGTACAGACCTAGCGTTCGGTTAATAAGAAGTTATTAATTAATTAATTACTTACTTTTGAAAAGAGGTAATTTTAATCAGGAATTAATTACCTTTTGAAGCAAGTAATTGCATGTAATTGTAGTTAATTCCTTTTCGAGCAGTAATTTTGCAGCTCTTTCATTTTCCCTCTGTAGTCCAACACCATCATATCGTTGGGCAAAAATCGACGCAGAAGATAACGCCGTGGACATGATAAAAACCGGAGATATTGAATTTGGAAATTTTAACCACACTATGACAATAAAAAATATAGATATCAATCACAACGGAACATATGCATGTATTGCAACGTCTGGTGACATTTATGATATGGTAAAATGGAAGTTAATTGTAAGAGGTATTTGTTGAATAGAATGTCAATATTATTAAGATGACGTTTTGTTGGAATAAGCCAATTCAATTTGGAGCCATCGAGAAAGGATGAAAAGTTGCGAAGTTGAAGTATTTCAGCAAAATTTCTATCTTCTTGACGCATCTCCCCTCCCTGTCGCCACATTGACTGGGCAGCACAAGGGGACCTCTTCAGTTTACGCTGGGGGCCCTTCAGCACAAAGTTAGGCTACTGCAAGTTTCCCTACATGTATTGTGATGATGTTATTGTTGTCTTATATATAGAATAACCATTTCTTGATACAGAATACTGTCCTTCCAGTATAAAATGACATAATAAAAATGCCACAAGGCACAAAATACATCTTATTTTGCCAGAGAAACCAACATGGCTGTCAAATGAGAAGATTAGGAGTAAAGAAGTTGACGTATTTACCAATTTCACTTGGGAATGCAAGGCTCATGGGGACCCTGTGCCTACGTACACTTGGTATAGTAATGCCAGTCAAATGGACACAAGGAGGTAAGCTTGGTAAATATCACGTAGAAGATCAATTTATTCTATTTGTTCTGGAGCTGCAGTAAGTTACCAAAGCGGCACCATGCTTTCTAATCGTATCCATAAAGAATTTAATCGGCATTCACGATGCGTTATGATTTATTCGCTAGTAGATATTATAAGAACATTCTCTAAAATCTTCGCCAAGTTGGTTGAAATACGAATCTCAAACATGCATAAAAATATCTTTGCCAAATTCATCTACCCCGACAGATTAGATGCATCAAACCGAGATCTTTCCGAAATATGTACAACCAAACATGGTGCTACAGTGCAGTGCCCTGGAGCATGTTCAAAACAAGTGCACCACAAGCGCGAAGATATACTATTCTTGAATAAACACCACGGCTTATGATCCCGAAAAGACCGGCTAACAGACGAACAAGCTTACAGAATAACAACCATAGAATATAACAACCTCACGCAGCGACCTTCGCTTGGGCACCACAATTAATTTATGCAATTTATGCTGGTAGACGTAATAGTATGCATAAACAAAACATTTTTACTAGGCTTAGCTTGTGGAATATCAACCTCGTTCCCAGGGCCTTTTTTGAAAATTCGGCGATGGGAAAAGGAAAAAAAGAAGAAAGGAAAACCTTTTCCCATCGCAGAATTTTCAAAAAAGGCCCTGGGAACGAGGTTGGTGGAATATATACAGTATATACCGGGAGAGTTGACTATATATACAAAGTTGACTAAACCAAAATGGTGATACTGTATCTAGAACAGTTCTATTAGTTAGTGCATGTACAATGTCACACAATGTTTCGATTTCTGTTTTTAGTGGAAGGTGTGAAATTGATGGTGGGAAAATATCATTCAGTCGTGTTCTGCTTGAAGATATCGGAATGTATCAGTGTGTAGCTGAAAATGGTTTTGGACGTATTTATCAAACTGTTTCATTGCGTGTTCGGGGTATGGTGTATGTTTCCTCTTTATATTGTGTATCAGAAAAAGTTGCAAATCTACTATATATATGACGGATAATAGACCCTCTCAAGGTTAACGATGCCATAATGAAACAAAATTGTGCAAGGGGTACAAACACAATGGAATTCCATATAGGGAAATTTGCAGAGGGTGCAAATACAATGGTGAAAACAATAGATTCAAGATGGCGTCGTTAACCTTGGAAGGCCCTATTAGGATGTAAGCGAAGAAACTTTAGGCTAGAAAAATTACTGTAACGTAGTTTTATTTTTCCTTGGATCATGAAATCTATGAAACTAAAAGGTGTTATAATAACAGCATATAGCCAAGGGGGTCCAACATAATTTAATTAATAAGAAACTAATTAATAAACCATTTGGGTCCTGTGCTCAGTAGTAAAGAATATGCAAGATAGGTATTTGCATGCATTCCAAACTTTGAAACTATAAAACAAAAAAGTTATGAGAAAACGTCGGATTCATAGGGATGCAACTACCTGAAAAAATACAAGGAGACCCCCAAAGACTCATCAAGCATAATGTTTTCATCCCCGGAAAGGGGTAATGACCCCCTAAGACATTAACCTGAATCAAGGGGTTGTAATCCCCAATGGAACGTTCTTGCGTCAAAGCCCTACGAATCGTCCTTTGCCTCTCATGTTCATTGTTGACCTGTGATCAGGAGCATAGCTAGAGGGGGAATGGAGAGATGTAATTCCACTCCAGTTCCCCATCCATCACGGACTCGGCAAATGTATTCTGACTCGGCAAATTGTTTTCGTGGCTGAGTGGCTCGGAATTTGAGTGGCTCGGAATAAAAGTAATAGCTATAGCAAACATTTTGCTAAATTTACGAAAAATGGTATGTCCGGGAATATTTTCGACCCCTGCGAGACTACACTCCCTGTTTTAGCCTCTTCGCTACGGCGCTGCATATGATTGGTCGGTTAGTCTTTGACTCGGTCTGCGCGTGTCTGCAAATATTTGAACTTTGATCGATTAATAACCGAGTGTGAAGGCGAACGTGTTGTCTCATCAAAATTGCTTTATTTTACAAAACGTACTACTCTTTTCTACAGCAAGAAGACCAGAATTTAATAAATCAAGCATCGATGTTGTGTTCTTAAAGGATTCTCAAGGAACACTCAGATGTCAGTCTAATGCAATCCCGCGCGCTAACTATACCTGGACGAAGAATGGCATCCCGCTCACTCTTGGCACGAAATATAACGTCAATGATGGAGAGCTTCTAGTTATTAACACGCTGACAGAGGAAGATGCAGGTGTATACAAATGTACGGCCGAAAATGTGTTTGGTAAGGCGGAACAAGTTATAAACGTCACAATAGGTACGTTACCAACAGATGCTGTACAATTATGTCTTGCAATAAGAGCATTACGGCGAGTAGGAAAATGCCAATTTTCTTCGAAAAACGTTTTTCAATACCTTCAAGTATGTACCGCTACGTGAATTACTCGGCGTATGCATGAACAAATTTTTTTCATATTCGGAAAGATCAGGCTTTTAGCTATTGAATGACGTGTTTTTAATGCCATGTGGAGAAAAACTGACAAGTACGAGTCCTTGAAAAAATGTAAGTCAGAATCGCATATTTTCACCTCTGTGCCTAATTAAAGCAGCGCATAACAAAAGAAAAAGCAATTAGGAGGAGATTTTTTAAAAGGTCGCAAATTTTTTTTGAAAAACGCTCAAAACTTAGCGACCAGGCCTTCGCGAAAAAATGCGAAATTTTCGTGAAGTTCGTGATTAAAATCACGAACCTGTCATACCTTAGGATTTATTCCTACTTGATAATAATTTTTAATATGTGCGTAGTTTAATGATGTGAAATTCATCAACTTGAGTCCTAAAGGGGGTTAATTTTCAATGGTTTTAGATTAGGTTTCTCACTGAAGGGTGAAAATATGCGATTCTGACTAACATTTTTTATCGGATTCGTATTTGCTCATTTTTTATCCATTTGGCATGAAGAATATATTATTCAACAGCTAAAAGCCTGATCTTTCCGAATATGAAAAAATCCGTCTTTCATACGCAGAGTAAGTCAGATACAATGGTGCGTTGAAGTTCGATTATCTTTTTTATACACCCTGTACAACACTATCTGAGCCATCGAAATCGAAAACCAACAAGGTGGTCTGGATTTTAAACTTCTGTAAACATTTTTTGTCTAAGATAAAACGATAACAACAGAATTTCTGAGTTTAATATAATAAAATTCGAAAACAGAGCAGTTTTCAGTGCAGTGTCACTTTAGCTCTCCGAAAAATTTTTTTAGACTAGGAAGTCCATCATAGCGATCCGTATGATTGGTTCCTGAGCGGCCAACAAGGGGGAATTTTGTTCTCGACCAATCAGCGCATTTGTTGACAATTTCGCTCTAAGCCAATCAGAATGCGGAATTGGTTACTACTTCCGGTAAAAACACACATTTGAACAGAAACAATAGGGTCTTAAATAAAGCTTCGCTTTTTTTGAATTACCCAATCGGGTAAAACGCGGATTGCGGATATGGTCTGCAATATACTTTTCGGGTCTTTAAAAGCCATATCCGCGTTTTACACAATCGGTTAAAACGCTGCGGATATGGAGTAAAATATACTTTTCGGGTCTTTAAAGACCCGTTTACACTTGCAATTTCTGCTGCGATTTCTGGTGCAATTTTCTTCTTCTGATGGATGTGAACGAGCGGACGAATCATGAATGTTCAGACGAGGGTATATCAGTGAGACATATACTCAGAACATTCATAATTTATCTACTCGTTCACATACATCAGAAGAAGAAAATCGCACCAGAATTCGCAGAGAAAATGGCAAGTGTAAAAGGCCGCAAAGGCATATATTCGCGTTTTACCCAATTTTTTTCCTGATAGATTGCAAAGCACATATAGGTTACGAACAACTCACATGTAAAATTAATAACAAACAATTTGAACAGAAAAAATAACATTATTATTAGGAGGACAATACTGTTGTCTTAAATGAAACAGGAAGAGATGGCATTTCATAAAACTTATTGAATATTGTTGTGTTCGTGAATCAGCCATTGACAATATTGTATCAATACTTAGGCCATCCGTTTTCCAGATGACGCTGACGGGCCTCTTACTGAATGTCCCTTAAAAATGTTGTCTTTAATCCCAGCAAGCTGAATAACTTCTTTAAGCCAGCGAGAAAGTGTAGCTGATGATATTTCTCGAAATAGGCCGATAAATACAGTTATCTAAGTACGTTTAAACAAGTTACAAGTTACAAGTTGCACTTGTGCTATGTATGTGAACTTTACTGTACTTCCTTTTTGTAGTTAGAGGTGAAAAAAAATAGGGCAGTCTGCTTGATAATATTTTGCGGAATCCTAAATTTTTTGTCCGCACTAGATAGGTGATTTGAAGGGTTACGCCACAGGTGAATGCAGTCTAGAATATATTTGTGATTCGCAATGTGACGAATATTAATTATATAATGTAGAGAAAATGGTGAATATGAATAAGTTGCCATAGGACTTCAACAACGCGTACGATGAATTGGTATGGTGGTAAAGACTACAAGCTGTGCAATGTACCATTGTGGTTCCAGTCCTACAGAAGCAATTTTGTGATTCAAAATATCTCGAATATTAATTATACAATCTAGAGAAAAAGGTTAAGGTGAATAAGTTGCGAAATGTTTTCAACAACGAGCATGTTGTCTAGTGGTAAAGACGGTAGCTATAGGTTGTGTAATGTACCATTGTGGTTCAAGTCCTACAGAAGTAATTTTGCAAAATGTGTCGAATATTAATTACACAAGAGAAAAAGGTTAATGTAAATAAATTGCGAAAGGTTTTTAACAAGAGCGCGTGGTCTAGTGGTAAAGACTACAGGCTGTGTAATGTTCTGTTGTGGTTCAATTCCTACAGAAGTCATTTTGTCATTTGAAAATGGTTGAATTTTAATTGGGTGAAAATAGGGTGAATAAGTTGCGTAAGGCTTCCAATAACGAGCAAGTGATATAGTGGTAAAGACTACACCCTAGCTGTGTCATGTATTGTTGTGTTTCAAGTCATACCGAAGTAATTTTGTGATTCGAAATGTGTCGAATTTTAATTATACAATCTATAGAAAAGGTTTATGGTGAATATAAGTTGCTATAAGCTTTCATCAACGATCAAGTGATCTAGTGGTTGAATTTAATTATACAATTTACAGAAAAGGTTTAAGGTGAGTAAGTTGGAGTAGGCTTCCAACAACGAACAAGTTGTCTTGTAGTAATGTCTACAGGTTGTCTAATGTACCAATGTGGTTAAGTCCTGCTGAAGTCATTTTGCGATTCGAAATATGTCCATTATTAATTATACAATCTAGAGAAAAAGATTAAGGTGAATAAGTTGCTATAGTCTTTCAACAACGAGCAAGTGGTCTAGTGGTAAAGGCTATACAGGTAGTGTAAAGTACCATTGTGTTTCAAGTCCTACAAAAGTCATTTTGCGACTTGAAACGTGTCGAATATTAATTGTACAAGCTCAAGAAAAAAGGTTAATTTAAATAAAAACTGCTGCAGGCTTCCAAGAACGAGCAAGTGATTTAGTGGTAAAGACTACAGGTTGTGTAATGTACCATTGTGGTTCAAGTCGTACAGAAGTCATTTTGTGACTCGAAAATGGTTGAATTTTAACTATACAATCTAGAGAAGAAGTTTAAAGTGAATAACTTGTGATAGGCTTCCAACAACGAGAAAGTGGCAAAGTCTACAGTTTGTGTAATGTACGTACGATTGTGGTTCAAGTCGTACAGAAGTCATTTTGTGACTCGAAAATGATTGAATTTTAATAGACATTATACAATCCAGAGAAAAAGTTTAAAGTGAATAAGTTTCGATAGACTTTCAACAACGAGCAACTGGCATAGTGGTAAAGACTACATATTGTGTAATATACCATTGTGGTACAAGACCTAATATTAATTATGCAGGTTTGAAGAAAAAGGTTATGGTGAATACGTTGGGATAGGCTTTCAACAATGAGAAGGTGTTATTGTGGTAAAGAATGCAGGTACGTTGTGTCATGTACCATTGCGGTTCAAATTCTACAGAAGTCATTTTGAGATTTGAAATGTAGTAATAGTAGTTTGTAATTATACAAGCTAGACTAAGAATAAGGTGAATAAGTTGCGGTAGGCTTCCAAAAACGAGAAAGTAGTCTAGTGGTAAAGAGTACACGCTGTGTAATGTACCATTGTGGTTCAAGACCTACAGAAGTCATTTTGTGACTTGAAATGTGTCGAATATTAATTACACAAGCTAGAGAATAAAGGTTAAGGTGAATAAGTTGCGGTAGGCTTCCAAAAACGAGCAAGTAGTCTAGTGGTAAAGAGTACACGCTGTGTAATGTACTATTGTGGTTCAAGTCCTACAGAAGTCATTTTGTGACTTGAAATGTGTCGAATATTAATTACACAAGCTAGAGAAAAAGGTTAAGGTGAATAAGTTGGGGTAGACTTGCAACAACGATCTAGTGGTAGCGATAGCGGACTGTAAAGGCCGATGTCGTGTATCAGGATCGGTTCGAGGATGAATGAAAGAAGAAGAATGAAAAAAGATGCCGGACGAAAGAAGAAGAATACAAATGAAAATGGCGGTGGGTCAAATGTGGAGAAGATACTACCATTGAAATTAATCTTTAGTAGTTACCATGGTGTGGCGCATGCGCGGTAGGAAGGTGGCAAGAGAGGAAAGAGCGAGGGCCTCCGGGAAGGGGAAAAAATCTTACTAAGTCTTTTTCCTTGACGCTTTGAGCAAGATACGCCAGGTTTTTTCCTCAGAAGTTTCGGGGAAACAGAACCCCCGAATTTTGTCCCACTCTGCATACAGCCGGTCAGATCGATTACCTGAGCACGAAGTCTCAGCCGGTCTTACCCGGCTCGATTCTTCCACCATAGCACCCGAAGGCTTTGAGTGGTACCTCTTGACTACTAGGTTTTTGGTGAAAGCTTAATGTTTTCTATCATAGCTAATCCTTTTTCTCTACTCTATAATTAATTCGTACCCCTGAAAAAGGGCAAAAAGTCCTTGTCATGGCAGGAAACGAACCTGACTTCACCAACATGCGACACTTAGCCGAGACCACTACACCATCGTGGTTGTTGCGTGGTCGTCACATTTGGAATCACAAAATGAGTTCTGTAGGACTTGAACCGCAATGGTACATTACACAGCGTGTAGTCTTTACCACTAGACCACTTGCTCGATGTTGGAAACCAATCGCAACTTATTCACCTTAATCTTTTTTCTCTAGCTCGTGTAATATATATTCGACCCATTTAGTTCGGTTTGTCGGCCTGACAAAAATGGAAGAATTGCCTCAGTTCTAACGGTAGCAACGGCAATCTAAAAGAGTGACGCAGAGCCAGAGGCTTTAGTTGAATATGATTACGATTAGTATTGAGATACGAGCAGAGCCGCTGGGCGAAGGAACGCAGGCGGGAAGGGGCGAAGGCGTGGCTTCCCGCCTTCCTTGCCTTCGCCTAAAGCCTCTGCGCAGGAGAGACCACTAAACGTAAAACAGCGTGGCATTGCCGATGAAACTTGATATGCCATTATCCATATGCTGTCAAACCAAATTGCTAGAAACATCACGTACGTAGATTGACTAGCCAAACATTTCATTAAATCAACTTGGGATATAACCAATTAATGCCATTTGCCTTTCGATTTGCGTGGTTGCGTCGCTCTTCACGGCCAACTGATGGTCACAATAATAGAGCCAGTTATTCCATCGATGATAAGTCGCGGCTTTATTTCGCGTAGGAGGTCAGTTTATTCGTAGTAAGCTCATAGGTATAAAAGCTAGTCCAAAAAAGTCCAAAAATTGACTGTTTATACGAGTTGTTCGTGACCCGATTGGGTAAAACGCGGATATGCATTTGAAAGAGCCGAAAAGTATATTTAATTTTACACCATATCACTGTTTTATCCGACTGGATAAAACGCGGATATGATGTTTAAAACATATTTTGGAGAAAAATAGGTCATCCGTCCGTCCGTATCAGCTGTCCGTATCAACGGTGTGTGGGCTTTGTATCAAACATCAAATATGCATGGACACTCTTTATTATTGTTTCCAGTTGATAATAGAAAACAGATTCTACTTTCGGTGGTAAGTCATTAGAGACCTTAAGATTGACGTTTACGGCAAACGTCAAACCGCTAGCGAGGTTTTTGATTTTACAACTCTATTATAATAGCTTTTACACCAGTTTTGAAATATGTTAAACTTATTAAACTTGTGCTCTTTAGCAATGATTTAAGAAAGCAAATTAACCACTAGTCATGCCATTCACTAAAGCAGTAAATTTAGATTTGGCGTTTGAAGTTGACGTTTGGCGTATAAATTTTATGCTTGAACTGCTACGAGGGCTTGTAGTCGTTAAAGCATGAAATTTATACGCCAAACGTCAACTTCAAACGCCAAGTCTTAATTTACTGCTTTGGTGAATGGCATGACTAGTGGTTGATTTGCTTTCTTAAATCATTGCTAAAGAGCACAAGTTTAATAAGTTTAACATATTTCAAAACTGGTGTAAAAGCTATTATAATAGAGTTGTAAAATCAAAAACTTCGCTAGCGGTTTGACGTTTGCCGTAAACGTCAATCTTAAGGTCTCTAATAAGTGTAGAACAGTAGGTAGAACAGTCTAAATAACACTCACATGTATATTCATACCAGTCTAGAGATGGGTAAACAAACAATATATAGTAAACAAACCGAGGGCCCCAAGTCACAAACGTTTAAGGATTTTAAATAGACATGCTAATATAGTATAGCCTATAGAGTTGAACTAATACGCGGGTAATATACCAGAAATATTTGAGTATGCTAAGTTTCAAAATTCAAAGAACACCATATCAATAGGATAAACAAACAAGACAAAAAATCATGTTGCATGTTGCAATAGATATTTCTAGTTATGTTAGAAATATGTCCCGCGATCCATTGCAAGTCCGCGGTTCACTTCATGAACGTAGGGCGATTTCACATTGATCAAAAAACGAAGAATTTTCGCACAGAAAATTGGGGAACCTTAACACTGGGCCTTAAACCTGACAAAGGAGATATAGAACGAAATAGGGATAGTAAATACAACAAGCTTTCATTTATATAATCCTACAACACTGTAAATTTAAGGGAGCTGAATAAACTCTAAAAGTGTTGATTAAACTCCTTGAAATTTACAGAGAACTTATAGTGGCAATATAGACCTTCGATTATGACAAACACTCGATAGTCACTTAGTTGTAAACTAAAATACCATCGCTCATATATACATGTTGCCATTTGCCGTTGGTATTTGACAATGGATTTCACAAGGCTTTAATTTTACTAATTTAGAAGCTTATAACATTGAGAGGGGAGAGGAGGAAACGGGAAATTACCATTTTTGCAAGGAAATAATCGGGCAAGCACACACTGTCCATAATATTTTTTTACCAGGATTGTATAGCTAATGCGCATGTGCAAATGCTGTGTATTAATGCAGGTGCTCAGATGGAGTTGATCGATATCGTCAAGAGTGGTTTTTCTATCGCTGTCAACGGAATAATCAGACAACGGTTGGTTGCATAATTCATCATTAAATTATACATTCAATTTGTGCACGACCACACCATTAAATATTCAAGATTTTGGGCATCTCGCTGGATAGAAATATATGTTGGAGGGGTTTTGCATGGAAATTTCGAGCAGAAAATGTACATTCATTGTTTAGACTGTATCTACAAAATGTGGCTACTTTTCGCTCGAAATGTCCCTTCACTAGCAGGGATGTAGCGACTGGGGGTGTATCACCCCCCCCCCCACCCCACACACATACACACACAATCAGCACAAGCGAGAAAATCAGGTAAAACTCTTAAAGGCTAATGCAAGCGAAAACAACGCGTACTTTTTAAAACAATGGATGAATAAGCTGTTCTCATTTCATGATAATTATGTAAAACTGAACCGCTACAAATTCTAACATTATTTACTAACGTCATTTCAGTGTCCTGCAGAACCGCCAACAACCTCATCAGCAACAACAATAAAGCAAGTCCATAATGATACAACAACACAAAATACAAACTATACGAATAAAACAACGGAAGAAATGAAACCAAACCTAACAATGGAGGCATCCAGAGGACCAACTAAGATAAACGAAACGACAGGTTCCCCCAAAAAATCAACTGGGCCAGTCCAGACACCAACAATAAAACTTCCAACTAAAACAGTAAAGCCAACAGAGAAAGCAAAAGTCAATCATACAATGCCCAGTAAAAAATCGCTCAACAAAGAAACGGTTATTTTCTCAGATAAAGTCACTACAATTACACAAAATCCTTCAACAAGACCAATGAATAGAAATGAGAGTAATTGGAAAAATACGAATAACGGAGTAGTCAATGTTCAGGGAAATCAAAGTGCCAGGTCTGGTTCTCGTAACTCAGCTGTCAGCGGTGTAGGAGTTGGTTTGATAGTACTTAGTCTTGTGATAATATTGGCAGCCCTTTGTTGGTTTGTCTACGCATATCATCACCCACAATCCAGATCGGGCAGGTTCTTGATTGAGGTAAGAAAAGGTTCTGTATAATATGAGAGATCGTAGGTTGACGTTTACGGCAGGGGCGGTTGTATAAAAAAGTGATTAAAGTTAAGTGATTAAAGTTAACTATAGTTAAGACTTAAGTGGAAACGTCATCCAATAAGAAGCGCCTATTTGAGAGTTAATTACTATTTAACTGCAAAATAGTGATTAAAAAAGGGAATTAAGAGTTTTATACAACCGGCCCCAGATCGCTAACCGCAAACTTCAAATCGTATAAGTTAACCAAAGTGCATGAGGGCAATCTGTGCTTTAAAATTGAAGAATGAATTAGCTACTTACTCAGCTGTCGAAGGCGTGTAGAACTCTTCATATTCGATTTGAAGTTTGTTATTTGCAGTTAGCCGTCTGCCGTAAACGTCATGCAATCTTAAAGTGTATATTATATAATATTGAACTGTCTGTGCCAGTGTAGGTAGTGCTAAAAGTATTTTAATATTTTTGCCACTACAAAACAAACAAGCTTCGTTGGTAGGGATGCAACTATCTGAAAAATATAAGAATTTATTTTCCAGGTAGTTGCATCTCCTTATATTTTCCAGGTAGTTGCATCTCTATACCAACGAAAGCTTGTCTATATTATATACTATATAACAGGTTGTTTAGCAGTCAATATTTTATTGACGCTGTATATTTCAAAGTGTGTATATTCTCATAGTGATATATTGATTTGTGTGCATGAGTGTGTTGGATCCCATCCTTGATAAATGACATACTTATCTATAGAGATTGAAATAGACCAATAATTATATAGGTGGGTTTCAAGCAATCGCCCACGAGACTTTGACAGAAGAGGCCAAATAATGAGATTCTATACTGAGATTCGTTCGTTTAAATACCCTCCATGCATGCATTGTATTCAGCTGGCGTATGATAAAAAACTATCAGATTATAGGCCCGTTTACACGACAGTCATTTTGGGTGTACGGCACACGTGGACTTATGCATAATGACGTCACAAAGCTTGATGCCCGCGAGGAATGCTGGTCTTAGTAGTCATCGCCCGGGAAAATTAAACAATTCAAAATGGCCACTATCGAAATTTTCCCGGGCGATGACTACTAAGACCAGGATTCCTCGCGGGCATCAAGCCTTGTGACGTCATTATACATAAGGTCTATTCCTGCAAGCTCTAGATTAACAAAATAAAAGTTTGAAACTTAAATAGAATGCATGAATGAAAATGTTGACTCTCATGCTCGTTTGATCCAGGCTTAACGCATTTGTAATTTATCTTCTACAGCACCGCAATCCTAAGAAATGGTTCAAACATTCTGAAGACACATCGAGTGGGGGAATGCATTACAAAACAAAATCTATGGAACTGACCGAATCGTGAAACAATTATCTTTAAATTAATATACATGATATACCAAACTGCATCAAACGGGCCTATGTTGTCTTATAAATTGACGTGAATGATTAAATAATCTATAATTAGTTTGTAATAAAAATACTATAAATAATTACTTTTAAAATAACCCGTTCATTCATTTTCAACATGATGATTATGATGCAATAATAAAGTTATAAGTTCTTTGTACTAATAAAGTTATAGTTTTGTTATAACTTGTAGCCTCCTTAGGGGCCGACCATTTAACTGATGTGTAACTGGAGAGGACATAATTAGCGGGTGATCTGGAGAAGTTCCAGTCGGCAAGTCTGTATCCAGGACCGTAGCTAGCATGTATAGTTGGGGGGGGGGGGGTAGGCCAAAAATTTCCGAATGACGAAAATAATTTCCGAATATATCATGGCATACTAAGCCACGAAGGTGTTTGCTATTCGGAAAATGAAGACGCAATTTACAAACAAAAATACGCATATTTTACGCACAGACATATTACAGAAGCAGTGCGGTAGGGAGCTTTTGTTTATTGGGGGCAGAAAACGAGGCATTTCCTGGACTTTGGGGAAGTTTTGACAGAATGCTGATGGTCAGAAAAAAGCGTTTTAGTATGTCGAAATTTACAATTTGAGTACAATTTATAGTGACAATACAATTTTATAATATTTTCTCTGTTTAACAACTAAAATTTTGTTCTACTATTATTGCCGTAATTTTCCGAATGGCCAACCCGATTTTCTGAATATGTTGATTCTAAAAAAGTTGAACCCCCCCAATACCCCCTCGCTACAGCCCTGTCTGTATCACTGCAGCTACCTACAGCATATATATGCATGGTTTAACTAATAAGTATACATCATAGGCAGCAGCTCAGGCCATGCTTAACTAGGACTCTGAGACAACTGAGTCGACCACCGAAGGTGCGAGCCTCTAGAGGGGTCTGGGGTCCCCCAGAAAATTTTTGATTTTTTGAAGCTCAGATAAGCTATTTCCAGCATTTTGAGGAGTTTTCCAACAAGAAATTAACCTTACACTAGTCCCTGAAAATCAAACCAGCTGATCTTCTCGGACTGATCAAATCGATCCCTGCAACCATGCTGTTTTGCAACATTTTTTCCCCCACCAAATACTGGGGCAGGATATTTTTTCCCCAGTTTGTTAGTGCAGGTATTTTTTTGTTCAGAATAGCCTTGCAGGAAATTGTTTTTCAAAATCACCCCCCCCCCCTCCTCAAAAGTTAAATGGTCGGCCCCTTAATGCTGTTCTTTTGTAATATATACTGTAATTGCAATTCAGTGAGAGTGAGACCACCGGATATAAAACATTGAACATTTCAAAACTCATCAATAATTCATGAGGAAAACACAAAGAAAAGCGTGTCGTGTCTTTGCATGTGATAGAGATTTCCCTTGATTTACATATTAAACTTTAACTTTGATTCACTCAACTTACACAACGTATTTTTTCAGGATAAACGTTTTTTCTTTGAGCTTTTATATCAAATTATATAACACTTTTATATTGTAAATACTCGATTTCATTTTCCACGGTAGAATACCATCCTAAATCACTCCATACGTTGTTGATCGCGTGCATGATATAAATATCCGGTTGGAGATTACCACGCCCGCATCCTTGCAGAATTGGATGCCAAAATTGGTCACCCATGCACCCCCTGTTTGCACTAGGCTGCTCCACCCTCTAGATAATGAGCTGTTCCTTGGTATTTTTAAATTTTCCGATATTGCGTTACTTGCAAGGAAAATTTATCCACCCCTAGCAGCGAGTTCGTCGAAGGAGGAGAAAGAATGTTAAGTGCTGTATATTTCTTTGCACAAAATCTGTCTGCAGTGGGTTAAAATTTGAAGCCTCTTTCAACAGTAACATATAAATTGCGTAATTTAATAAAATGGATAAAATAATTTACACGATTGTATTCGCATTTACATATTTCAAACTAAGTTTTAAAACCTCAGCAAACAACTTTTACTTTATTTACCAAGGTGCGAAAAGCAAGTATTCTACATATTGTAGTTCATTTTTCTCTGGTTCTACTTCCCCACTAATATTTGGTTCATGAATATTTATATACATTTCACGGAAACAAATATCATTGGCAAGCCATAATCGTATAGTCAATCTTCTTGTTGTAGTTTTTGGTATTAGTACCGCTGGCACAATTTGTTGTGAGGCCTAAAGTAGTTGTCTGTCGTTATTGTTGTCCATTCTGAAGTTAATCTTTTTTGGACTTTTTATCATGGTGTTTCTCACTTTTCTTGTCGTGATGTTTCTCGTGATGGTGTTTCTTGTGAGATTTCTTTGCCTCTTTCAACTTTTTGTGCAGCTTTGACTTCTTACAAGGTCTTGGACATCCCATACCTCCGCCCATTCCCATTCCCATACCCATACCCATACGCTGGCCCATGCCTCCAAACTGTATTCCTCCATTCGCAGCATTAGCACCTGTCATTTGTTGTCCTTGTGCGAAACTTCCTTTGTTTTTGTGGAACACGTGTTCATGGTGGAGTTCCTGTTCTGTACAAGGAGCTGGACAGGGTGGTGGAGGGGGAGGTCCCATTGGGGGAGCAGGGTGAGTATGATGGTGGGTGACATGTTTCTCATCTCTTAAAACCACAGGAGGTTGTGGTGGAACCATTGGTAGCTGACCGGAAGGTGGAGCTGGATGGTAGACATGATGGTGGACAGTGTGTTGAGCATATTGTGGGGATGGGGGCATTTGAGGTGGTGGGCCCATTTGTCCCATCTGCGGATGTGTGTGATGATGTGTCACGTGTTTCTCTTCCTTCAGTGAATACGGTGGTGGGGGTGGGGGAGGAGGGCAAGGTGGACTGGGGCAAGGTGGTGGCCAATATGGTGGCATCATTCCACCAGCAGCACCACCATACGAAGGCATCATACCAGCGCCATAACCACCAGCAGCGCCATAACCACCAGCAGCACCACCACATGGACTGGTCATGCATTTCTTTGATCCTGCAAAGTAAGAAAGTGAACAAAAACATTGAAGAAAAGTTTTACCATCAGTAAGATCGTGCTATTAGTGCATGAGAAACTGTATGAAAGTTATGGTTTGTTCAACTTTATTACAGCATACTCGCAACAGATTCGATAGCATATAGAGATATTGGTTTTACAGCCTTTTATCTTGTGACTGATAACTTATATAGTTATATAAAATTTTAACATGATCTATTTTAACGGTATGATTTTGTAAATAAGTCAACAAGATAAAGAGGTCTAAAGCCAGAAAAACGAGGCTTTATAGCCAAGCCGTAATGTACTTTTAAATTAAATCTTTTATGGAGGCGGTGTATATTGAACTTCCTACAACACTGCAAATCAGCATAACAGTTTACACTACGCTCAATTTTGGTACCCGCATAATTTTTATCCGTGATCAGGCTACCTATTTACAAAGGTAGTAATTGTATCCGTGCCGAGCCAAAACATTGAGCGTAGTGTAATAGAGCACACAAATCTCAGAGAAGTATAGCAAACCTCTTTACGGAAGATCCTCGTATCTTATAAACATACGTAGCACTTGTTATAAGATCACTGAAATTCGCAAAAAAGATCATACCTTTGGTTGTTTTATGATGTCCAGAGATGACTTTCTTCAATTTCTTTGATTTAATAGCCTCTGACGTGACAGCCAGAACTAGGGCTATTGAAAGCACGAAATAAATCCTCATCTTATCCTTTCACTGCTCCTACAAAAATTGGAAAAACAATAAATTATGCTGATTAAAGCGCAGAAAAAAGAAACTTTATAAGATTCTAAGCATTACAAAGATTAAAAATATATAATTGAAAAGATTTATACTTTATCCATTGCTTTACAAAAGGATCCTTTTCTTAAAGAATAAAGGTGTCTCACAATAAAAAATTGATTTTCTGCATTGGCGATTAGATAAAAATGAAATGCCTGTGCATAAGTTAAAGTCAAGCAAGTACTGTACTGCGAAGTTCCACCCGCACTCGGGTTCGTCTTTACGTGATTGGATTTTTATATGTATTATAACCTTTCATAACACAATTCTTCAATTTCGATATTCGACACTCAGTCCATTAGAAACCTTAACCAAAATGTAAACCCTGCGGCTCTGCTCTCATACAACATTCAGAGTTCCCTCACGGGCTCACCAAATAGTGAATTTTTATACGTTAAAGAGAATAAAAACATCTGGACTAAGAAAGATAATCCTTCAAGAAATTGAACAATATAAAATCAAGATTCATGCATGGAGTTCAAATGGCTCACCCACTAACTAAACTTCAAGTTTCAGTTCGTAGTTAAAATGATACTGTGTGAATGATTTCTGATGTTTCCATTCACCTCTATTTATTTATCCAAAAATAAAATTGTATGGCACAAATATATACAATATTAGCACGAAAGAATCACATTGTTAGTTTGACATTTAGTTAACTTGGAAAATCCCCCAAATGGACGTTATAGGTATATAATCTACCGTGTACTTGTTAAATTGTAGTTTAGCGCACAGAAATCTCTGCCACTTCGAAACCTGCCAGGTACCCAAATTAAGACCTTTCTCTTTCAAAAAATACTTTATTTAATAGAAAGTGGATTTCATTATAAGCACTAAATTCAATATTTCATTTTTATTCTTACCTTATTCTTGAAGTTTATCAAAAAGGAGAAATAGATATAAATTTTCTCTCTTCCAACGCCAGTCTCGAGATTAGGAAATATTTGGGTAAATTAACCTTGCGGAGTACGACAATTCTATTGGTCAATTGAGTGAAAACAAAATCATACGATCACTGAAGCATTGCATGAGAACAATGAAGTCTAACAGGTGGAATATGAGATATTTTATAACAGCATGACTTGATGCCGTGCACAGGTTACAATTCGTAAACAAAATTTTGTTGCTCAAACAGTAAACGGAATGTTGTCTAGCTAATACTTCCAGATTTAAATTAAGAATTGTTAAGTCAGTTCGGTGTTGTAGTGAACGTTAGTTTCGAATGTTTTTGGAACATTAGGCCCTGTTCATTTTCTCTCGAGGTGCGTGGTTGTCACGTGATTCTCGTGAAATCCACGCATTAAAACACGCAGGAAAGAAAACACGCATAAAACTTGCTACACGATTTTTACAAGGAAGTTATGTTTGCAACGTTGTTCCCAGCTTTTTGACAAAATAACAACATTGTTATACTACCTGTTTATTGGCATGCAAGTCTGCTACAAACTTGTTGCGAATACACCTTGTTCATCAATATCAGATTTTTACGCGTGTACTCCCCGCGTGTACTGCCAAGTTGTGTTTGGATTGGATGCTTGCTTGTTTGCAAGTTGCGGCAGCAATTTGCATGCTCACGCATGCAAGAAATGTCATATTGCAGCAGATGCCTTTAAATTTAACGAGTGTTAGATCGAATCAATTATCCGATCCGAGTTAGCATTATCGATTTTTTACCTTGATATTTGGCAGAAATGGTCCTCAGAAATGAAATCTTCATGCTCAAATTAGTCTACAGTACCAAACATTTCATGTTGTTTGGACAGTCAGGGCACGAGTTTTGAAAATTTACTTTTTAATTCCTATATATTTCACTGGAATTTGCTGCTGCAGTGAAAATGAAATTCATGGTATAGACTATAGAGCGTCATCAATTTTCCATGTCGGTATCTACAGATCTTTGCCAAAAATAGTCCTCAGGAATGAAATCTTAAATAAGGAATGCTTAAATAAGCATGAACATTTCATTCCTGAGGACCATTCTTGGCAAAGATCTGTAGATACCGAGATGGAAAATTGATGACGCTAACATTGGAGAATGCGTTTGTACACTGCTTGTTTCCAGGCACAACAATAGACACCAAAATTTTTTGAACAAGTTGTAGCAAATAATATATCTTATTAGATTCTTCTGAGCCCAATATGGAAAAATATTAAGTCGAGACTACAATATTGGGCGAGACCGAAGGTCGAGCCTATAATGCTGAAGTCGAGACTTAATATTTTGCCATATTGGGCGAAGATGAATCCAATAAGTGTTTTATTATATCAACCAAAACAATTAATTCTATCACAAAAATTGTATGTAAGCGATAATAATACAGCGAGAATAATACAGCGATCATATTATCACACATCGGCGGCGAATTTGCTTAAATAACTAAATAAAAAAGTTAATTAACTTGTTTTTAAAATTCCGCGTACGTATGTTTAAAGGTAATTTGACCTAATTTAATGAAAACATTATATACTACAAATCTTGCGACTGTTGTAAACAAATGAATTTCGCGAAGACAAGTTTTCCTGCGCTTTTATAATTTTAAACAAAACTGGTAGGAAAAAACTGTCATAATGTTCCAAATTCTTTAATTTCATTACTTTGCCATATCGTTTGTTGTGTGTTTGAAATTGACAAAACATCTGAAAAAGTTTGACAAACCAGGAAAAAAGCCATGATAAGCCACCGTCCAATATGAACTGTCCTACATTGTAAAATATCGGGCTGGCATGTGAGCGTATAATAATATGGGAATATTGGACTATGTATGGAAATGCAGACTTAATTCGACAAGTGTGTGTGCGTTTCAGGTACGGTGGTATTCTTTAATAATCCTTCCAGATTAAACATTTTACTCAAATAATACCTTTTGCCTCGGGTATGAATTCATTGTTCAGCGATTCTCCCTCCACAGCTTTTACACTTTTAAAGGCACACTGGCGAAGGGAGAAAAGTCTGCGGAGAAGAAAGATTCTGGGCCCGAAAAGTATCTAAATTGCCAACAAACTCAGCACCAACCTAAGATTCAGCTTCCTTTGGAACAATGGTTGTTCATGCAGCACTGATTTTGCAACTCATAATCTTGAGACAACTGGACCGCAGCCATTGGAAAATGTTTCCCCATGCAGGTCTTCGCAAAATATCATGTTGGACTCAATTTGTGTCTCTCTTGAATTTTGGGCCTCTAACGTAGAAAAGTTGCCTCTCTTGATTGTGGTATGTTATGCATGCACTGTGGTTGATAGTCCTTGGTGGTCCTAGGTCTTGAGATTATAGTAAGAAAACTATTACAGAAAATATAATAGAGTTTCAACTCCAAGTTTCAACCTCCTGAATAAGTAGGAGGGGCCTTCATTAATGCATTTCTAAGTTTAACATAATTTTGACAAGCCAAACCAGTGGCGGTGTCAATAGCCTTATACAGTAAAGGTAGCACAAAGGATGCCTAACAGCATATTAAGGGAAAACGCGATCACAAACACACTCTGGTTAAACGTGCAAAATGTTTGTATCTGGACAAAAAGGGTTTGCTTGCAGCAAGCCAGTGAAAATATTCTTCTTAAATATTGCAATAAAGAATAGTTAAGGGTTTTCAACACAGTTTTCATCAACAGGCATTCTACAACTGCCAGAATGTTTTATGAGGATCTTAGTAGAAAAAGATACTTGCAAGCATCCTGGTCGTATAGTAAACGCACGCCACAAGAAAATGTCACTATGCATAGCGTCCATTAAAGTGCTTATGCATCATATTTTATTGTATTGTAAAGAAAATTCAAAATGACTAGTAAGATACTTTGCCAAACTATCTTGACTTGTTTCTTTCTTGAGATATTTAACAAATGATGTTTTATATGCAAATTATCCTCACTGTGACGTCAAATTGCATAATAGCTTTCTGAAAAAAAACTTTTCTAACTCTTATAGATAACTGATTTAAACTTGTTGACATATATTTTGACATATATTGACACAACATATATTTTAGTATGTTGAACACATAGAACGGTTTTATGTTTTCTCGTTGCAGGCCAGCAGATGGTGATAAACTTAAAAAATGTTGACACATACAGGAACAAATAAAACTAATTAAGATCATTTTCTCATTTTAGTGGGTGGAAAGGTAATAGAAAGGAGGTTTGTTGATCTAGTCAAAACGCAATAAATACGAAGCGTTGTCAACTATGATTAAGTATTTAAGTTTGCAAACAAACCTAATCAATAAACATACGTTTCTTTGTTGTGAAAAGTCGGGGAGGCTCAATAAATTTCTCCAGGTAAGACGGGGGGGGGGGGATTATTAGAAAGCGGGGTTTAACAGAAGATTTCCCAAGAGGGTGTCCCATGTTCACTGAAAGTTTCCCTTTGTTCCTTCGTTCTCAACAAATATTTCACTAAGTTCCGTTGTTCCCAAGCTTACATGTTTCATTGTTTGCTATGTTTTTTCGGCTTTATTCCTGTATTCCCATTGCAAAATATGCCTTGTTCCCTAGAAATCCCTGGGAGACCCTCATATACAGCATGTCCCCGAAAAAACGAAAACTATTGAAATAACGTATTGTTAGAATTTGAATGCCTCGGCACTCTGCTGAACCCACAAGTGCATAAAAGCTTGACATATGTAAATTTTATGCATAAAGAAACTGTTTAAGAAGCTGCTTTAAATTCCCAAGAGCAGAAAATCGTGCGCTTAACAAATTATTTTAATTTCTTAATAAGTCAATATTTAATATATGCACCCTGTCAATATTTTATGCATCTTTGCGTTCAGCTTATTGCTAGGACATTCAAATTCTAACAATACGTTATTGCAATAGTTTTGGTTTTAAAAATGAGATAACCCAACACTACAGTATAAAATAAAGCACATCTTTACTAGCTTAAAATTTTATTAACAGTTTTTGACATTAACCCGAGCTACAGTGCTCTATGGTAAATTTACAAATAGTGAAGTAAACACATCAATAGCTAGAAATATACCTTGACTACAACTATAGCATGCTATTTCTTTACCTGAGTAGATGAACATGATGCTACATTGCAGAAATCAATTCTAGTTTTCAAGGTATTTTCAAAAATAGATTCTTAACATTTCTGTACATTATAAATTTCATCTTTAAATCTGCATAATTGAAAGTTGGATGGCAACCATTAGTTTATTAGTTTCAGTTGTCTTATTGTTTTTTAAAAACATATTGTCCAGTATTCGTTAACATTCCATTAGGTTTTGGTTGAGTACCATCTAATGAACTAAAATTCATTCGTTAGTTAAAGATATTACTTTCCACAAGGAGGGGCACCACAAGGTTGAGGAGGCATCATTGGGGGCATCATAGGAGGAGGCATCATTCCCCCTCCACAGGCAGGTTGAGCACATCCTCCAGCAGCTGGAGGCATAGGCATAGGAGGTGGGCATGGTGGTTGTGCACATTCAAAGATATGTTGTTGTGTATGGAATGTCTGTGGTGGGGGTGGTGGGGGCATAGGAGGTGCTGGAGGTGCTGGGGGTGCTGGTGCCATGTGATGAACATGATGGTGATGTACTGTCGTAAGATGAGTGATCATTTGTCCTTGAGGCTGACCACCACAGCATGATTGTTGACATGCTGGTGCACACTGTTGAGGACAACCACCACCACAACCACCACCACCCATCGGGTTACCAAATTGTTTCTTGCTTGCTGGAAGAAAAAATATACATTGCATTACGCACGAAATATTTACCATACTAACATGACGAGACCGACCATTTGTTTGTTTAGGAAATGATACCAGAATTTGCCGGGCATATCGGTTTACCGTTCACACGAGTTGTAAAACTAGGTGTGAAGTTAATTCCTATCATAATTCATCAAATTTAGTAATATTTTTATGTAGTACAAAATGTCTCAATCAAACTTCCTGTGTTACCTTTAAGTGCAAAATGTTAGACATCCGGAAAGTATACTTTAGGGCCCATTTCCACTCATTGCATGTGATTGGCCGACACAAATTTTCCGTCGGAAAAAACTTTGAAGCTGAAAATTTTCAACTTTTAACAACAGGGGCGAAACTAGCCCCTTTTAATTGGGGGCTAGAATTGCCCTGCGAAAGCCGATGATGCCCTGCAGCAAAAAATTTTTTTGGCCACTATTTGACCACAAATTTTTTTTCGGACAAATTCCTGTTAAAACATGCATGAAACCCTTATTTTTTTACCAATATCTGTAAAATTTAGGTCTATAAATTCTATTCAATTCCCTCTGGAAGCCCTGGAAGTTACTTAATAACTCTACATTCTATCATTTAAAATCTTTCATTGCCAAACCAATCCAGATGATTTGCCCTGCCAATCCAGATGATTTGTACTTTGGGGGGTGTCACACCCCCCTCAAGTTTCGTCCCTGTTTAACAATGATATTTTCGGAAAATTTTCTGTCCGTAGAAAATTTCCTTGAGTGGAAATGGGCCTTCAGACATTTGCAAGGAATTTAATTACTTTATTACTTTGTACCTAAACAATATCTCTGAACCTTCTTCTGCTGAAGGAGACAACTTATTAGTGAAATCTATTTCATACGAGCTACCATCGAGGTTGCCTACTGTGTGTTCTTCGCAAAGACGTGGCTATTGAAATCGGTTTATTGTTAAGCCTTAATGATGCTTATCTGATTTTAACCAATTAGTTCAACATAAACATTGTAATCCACTTAAAATCTATATTTGTAGGCAAACATACCTTTCTCGTGTTTAGCATGTTTCACTGACTTCGCAGAAGCTTGGAAAATAAACAGCGCTAGTAGAAGTGATACAACCGTTATCCGTAGCGCCATATCTACCTGGAAACAAAATATGAAATTAATTCTACAAGCCATCATACAAACTCTTTAAGCAACGTAAAGGAGCAATCGAGTAAAGACGTGTCAGCACTTCTATGAATCAGTGCTAATTGTTAGTTATGAACAAGCAGGTAAAATAGATTGTGCATTTGAACAGATTATGGTCTCTGTTTGTTCTAAGGTCTCTGTTTGTTCTAAGGTGATGCCAGGAAAACACCAAATAATCAATAGAAAAATGTGTTTAAAACGTCAGGATAACTATTCTTATTAGAAGTATGGTACAGCAAATTGCTTAGTGGCGGTGATAGGTAAACACCATGAATTATAAAAAAACGTAGTCATAGACCACATGTGTAAAACCAAAAAGTCTTCCTGATGTCATTACAGTGTTTGTTAACCACAACACTTATCTTGATGTAAAGATGTAGGAGTGACATCCAGAAGCTCGCACCAGCAAAAAAGAAAGTGCGTGACCCTGGGGCGAATCAAATGAACAGACTTTGAAGTACAGTAGACAGCACTAGTCGTAATATAGCTTTAGAAGTCTGCATTGGATTTTGATTCGCACCAAGTCAGACAGAACTTTTCTTCTTTACGAGTGGCAAACATAACAATACAATTTCTTCATATATTTTTATTACCACTCGTTCAGTAAAATAAAGTGATTTGACTATCAAAACTTAAAGGACTACGTTTATATATATATTTCGTCGTTGCTTTGTGTTTATATCAGTTTTGAAGATTTTAATGACACCAGTAATAAGAGCCTATAACTTTGATCCGAGTGATGGGAGTTATTGCTACTAAGATTAAAATGAAGTTTATAATTTGTTTCAAGACAATACAACGAACAGAATAAAATAAAATAAAATAAATCATTCTTATGAGGTCTTAACAGAAATACATTATTATCACGAAACGTTGGATAGGTTTATTACACCAGAAACACAGACTAAGTCACTATAGTCAATACTGTAATTTTTACTCGTTAAGTAAGAGGAAATTAAAGTACAAACCTAGCCAATTGGTTCTTCTACACGTTGACTCCTGAGATATTCCTTTCAACCAAATAAATATTTCCAAAATCCTTGAGTAAAGAACTATAGAAAATCGACTGTCCTCGGAATACGACTTTGCTCAGGAAACGGGTACTTAGTGCATGACGTGCTTCGAGAAAACTTCAAAGCAAGGCTCGTCATGGTTCATTACTTGCATCACTGAACCGTGAATAACAGCCGTAACGCTTCGATACGCTCATTTAACTAAACCAATCACGTCTCCGTATTCTGGGGCTCTACAATTGTGTGAAATTTCATTATAATGCGAACTTAAAACTTGAGAATTATTGAGGAATTAGTATATATTTCAATATACCGAAGAAAAAGGCACCATAATCTAATAGGCCACGTATTTTTTTATATTTCAATTTCATATTTGCTCTGAATTTCAACAGTCTTGCCAAAGTCAAAATACAACGCGTTAAACTATAACAAACAAAATATCATGTCGCTTGTTGATCTATGCATACCCCTTTATTATACTTATGCACTTGCTCAACCGTTGAAGCATACTTTGAACTAAAAATCAAATTAGCTTGACAATATGTAGTGGAATTTTTGGATGAAAAAGATGAAAATTATCTACACGATAGAAAATTTTATCGAAAATTTGAGGATAAGATATGCAAGCCCAGAAGGAAAAGAAAATAAAGTGCAAAATAATCATGAATAATTAACCAGGTTGCAACGGGTAGTTTTGTGTTCGTTACAAGAGCACCAGTTTTTTGCCGTTTGTTTTCATATTAGAGTTCAAAATCACGGCTATTTCTATAAATAAATTATTAGGGACAGAAGTTTGATCGCTCGCCCGTTCGCTGAATCTGTTCTTTATTTGAAAATTTAGTTTGTTTCGCCTAAAAAGGAGGGACTTCTTTTGGAAGGTATGGTTTTCAAAAGTTACTAAACGATAGAAATACTTTGGAACTTTTAGGAGTATATTTGAAATTTCAGTGATCATGCACATTATAGTTTTATGCATTGGTATCAGTATTCATCCTTTGTTTTCGATATATTATTGTGTAAACTTTGGTTAAAGTGGTAGTAATGAGAGTGAATCCTTAATCAATGCTACTTTTGGTGGTTATATTTCCAATGTAACAATGATAGGATAACAAAATTAAAATTTCCTAAAAAGTGGTTACTTCTTCTGTAGTCGTCTTAATCAACCATGGCATCTAACAGACTGCTCGTATGTCTTGGTGTCTTATTATTATCGAGTGCTATTTTGGGAAAATCTGTTCATAAGAAACATCATAAAAAAGGTTAGTGCATGCACTCATGTTATATGAATACAACACACGAGTGTGCAATATGGAGTATTACGGTAATTAATAATGGTGTCGGTTATAGTATCTATTTTTATTGCAAAAACTGGACAAGCTAGTTATGTAAACTGAAGAGGGATGTAGGGAGAATGAAAATTGTTTATAAACGGCGACTCTAACTACGGTATTCATAACTAAAATATATTTACTAACTGCATTTATAGAAAGTTCTTTAAATGATATCTATACATATAAAATACACCCATCTTACCCTCCTTGTATGTCATATTCCAAATTTACTATAATTTTATCCTTCCTAATCGGCGGACCAAAAATCCGCTCAGTCAATAAATTCAATTATGCTGTAATATATACGATCGTTCTTATCTATACGACAGGCGCATGATATTGCTATTATACAAATCTTAAAATTTGAATTTACTGAAAACAGACTTTTTAAATAGTAAAATATTTATACAAAGCGAGAGTGCAAACGTAAGCTAAAACTAAGAGGAGTTTAATTATTTAAAAAATGTGTATACCGATGTTCATTATAGTTCCTCACACATGACGGTCAGTTCTGCATGTAACTGGAACAAGTTTATTAGAAGCACGTAGACTGTAAATGGGAGATTTTCGTACTGAATGAGTTCGGGCAAGGAAGAGGACTGTAGAAGAACGTTTGGGGATATCAAAGACTGCCACATCGCTGCATGAAATTGTCGGATCAGTATTTTCAGCTCTTGACTGAATGGATGTTATGATAATCATGAATAACAAGCATGAAATACAAGATTAATTTACATTACAACACATGACTCGTCCCCATTCCATCATTTTGCGTTCTAGTGTTCTCATTAGAGTTTTCCCAGCGATCACTGCGCGAATGTTTCAGAGGAATTTTGAGGGACAATACCAGAAAGAGTATATACAGAGCAATACTGCTAAGTATGGAAATTTTCCACGAATAGTCGAATACTCCATAGATTCACGGCAGGACTATGAATGTACACACTCCAACTGAACAGAGGCAAGATGAATTTTATGAAGCGTAGCTGTCGAAAGATTAAACTACCTTTGCCTGTTTTATCTGTTTACGCTTCACTTATTGATTGACTCATTTCGTCGAGCAGTCAGCGTAACTTCCTAACATGATGTATAGTCATTGGCTAACAATAGTTTTGTTTGTAATATGCTTGTATAAGACCAAAGCTAAGGGAAACCTGAATCGAATACAAGACTTGAAGCGGTAACCTCGAGATGCTAGCCTGAAGCTCTGCCAGTTGAGTTGATGGAACCGAATGACACACTGAGGTAAATTCGGACATTTCGACTATTTATTAAGTTCTGTTTTGTATTTCCAGCAACGAAAGAATGCAAACCTTCTAAGAAACAGATGGGATGTCCAGGACAATGTCCGTCATCTTGTGCTCCTGCATGTCAATCGTCATGCTGTGGTGGCGGCGCCGCCGGAGGGTTTGGTGGAGCTGGAGGGTTTGGTGGAGCTGGAGGGTTTGGTGGAGCTGGTGGGGCTGCTGGATTTTCCAGTACACCTAATGCTAATAATGCAGGACCACAGTATAAAGGTGGACCAGCACCTATTGCACCACCACCTATGCCACATGGAGTGATGTTACCACCAGCACCTCAAACACCATGCCCACCTACACATATCTACAATACACAGCATGATGAGACTCACGAATGGAAACAACCACCAGGAGCAAAACCACCACCACCCCCTGCACCACTACCACCACCACAGAAGATCAACACCATCCAACATGTTATTCATCATCATCAGAAACCACCACCACCACCAAAGCCGGCGCCACCACCTCCACCACCAAAACATCAATATCAAACAATGAATGATGAGGACCATGCTTGGGCACCAATACCACCACCACCACCAGTGCCAGCACCACCCGCTGCACCAAGACCTGTGAACAAGATTATTCACACTGTCGTACATCACCATGTAGAGCCCTCAGCCCCTGGACCACCACCTCCTTGTATGCCACCACCATGTATGGGACAACAGAACTGCTGTGGAAAATAAAGGATTGGTCAAGTAAAGTTAGCAGGCGATATTGTACAAGGTTTTACACCTAATGTATATTATATTAGATTATTAGAAATGCTAACGTTTCATTGCCCAAGTTGTATTAACCTAACTGGACAATGAAACATTGTGAGCTATTATTAACTATGTCTGAGTTCTGATTTCTACCTTAGAAGGTACTTGCCTACCATCGAGGAAACTAGTCAATGACTCTAGTTACTAAACTTTGTTAATAAATTTTTGTTTATTGTGTAATATAATATCAAATATATTTTTCACATGTAAAATATATAAACCCACGCAAGAATGTGTTTGCATTGAAAGTATTTGGAGCTATATTGAGTCATTTGCTATTAATCTAAAGCTGGTTTGGTTAGTCTTCGACTCTGTAACTGTGTAACCAGAGGTTACCAAGGAACGTATTGAACAGTCATGCATGTCTGTCAAGCCTCGACTCGTACAAATTCCCAAATTTTCTCTTGGCGGTGTACTGTGCCGAAATAGGCAGTATTGCCTAGCGACCTTTATTACATACTTTTGACCAGCTCTTTCCATTCTTCCATGATATTGTTTGAATGCTAGATTTGGATTTTAAATTGGCAGATGATGTATTTGAATCCTGGCTCTTACTACTATCCATACACTAGGCCTTCTAGTTACACTTACATTCCGACTGTTTTATCCAGGATTATTTGACACTGTCTGAAACCGTCTATATGCTACTGAATTGTACAGAAAAGTGGGTATAAAATGACAGAATATTTTTAGACACGGGAAAAGATGAGCTATTCTATGTTTTACTTTCAGGGCACCATTTACAATACCAAAGTCGAACGCTTCTGTAAATTGACTATTTGGAGTAAATATATTTATGTCGACATCGTAAAAAGCAATCTTGTTTTAATGTAAAAGGCTGACAACAATAAGCATTCGTCTCTCGTTTGTCGCACATTATGATCAAAACTCTCTGATCAAAACTCTCTAATCATAAGTTAGCACCCACAGTATTCATTCACATGCGTCAGACAATGTTGAAACTGCGATCCCAAAGTTTCAAATCTCGGACTTTCAAATATATTTATTCTTTTTTACATGGTGTGCGTACATGTTTTACAGTCAAACGCTTATTCTACATTTTTATTGAAGTTAAGAAGAATAAATCATTTCGTAAAGGAAGCTTGTCATGTCACAAAATGCCACGGTATGTACTGTATATACTACTGATACAAAGCTCTGGAATTTGACGCATTATACGCAGATGTTCAAATCGAGCCAAGTATGCTTAATATAGTTTATTTATGCACTATTCTCGTGATATTGATTTCACGACCTGATCGTGATCCAGTATGAACTACCTACAATAACTACTGTAACAAGTCGCGGTTGTCATGAACGAGAACATACAGACCAGCTGTTAGCTCGCCAGGCTTGAGTACCTTAAAGTTTGTCTACAGTATAAACACAGTGGATACCTACCTATGGTCCATGGAAACTGGCCATACTATGCTAATAAACGTTCACCCCTATTGCCTAAAGCCTGTATTCCAACATCAAGCTATCGTACCGAAACATAGCGTAATTCTTTGTTCCAGAAACACTAGGGTAGAACTAATGATTTCGACACGAAAGCACGTTACGATACAATAGATCTTACTGCGCTTACGCCCCAATGGTTTCCATGTTTGTCTGTTTTAGCATGGCAGGCGCACTTGAATTAAGGTGATGCCCCATGTTCCGTGCACCAATATGTTTCTGTGTGATACTAAATCACAAACCTATCCTTTATCCTATACTGTGCACGAAACATGAGGATGGACTACATGAAAACGAGGCCATTGGGGCACGAGTACAATAAACAGTTGAAATGCTTGAAATGGAAAACAGATTGAAAGCAATTTCTGAGGGTTTGGATAATGTGAATAATCATAAATGTGCATAGCATAAGCAACTACAATGGTTCAACCATCTACTGCATTTGCAGCGCGATCAGCCACTACGTTCCTATATACTTCGCTAACATAAAACAACACAAGCAGCGCTATGACTATATCGTCAAGAAATCCAAGAAGTCCAAATGCAGCTTCAGATAAAATGTCAATAGGAGAAAGTACATATAATAACGCAGCTATAAAACATAGAGCAATTCGAAAACGCAGCACTAACACCAAACCTGACCCAGAGAAAAATTCATGAAACAGTTGTTCAAGTAACGTTGGAAGGTCCCATATATATTCCATAATCTGAAAATTAAAATGACAGGAAATGTAAAGCGGTCGACCAAAACATAAAACGTACCAAAAAATTATTTGAAGGCATTTTTTTAACAAGTTGCAAAAAGACTATACACAGTATGTTGGCACCACTAATGATGGCTTTACATCCAAAAATTTTAGAATTTATAATTTGTACGTTATTTAAATAAGTTCTATACAGTATGTTGACTAGAAATGCAAGTTGGCAGCTTGCAACAAAAACTGCCATCAGAGTGTAACTTTCTGAGAGTTGGCCTGTGTCTAATGCAATATAGTTGGAAGTTAGTTTGAAATAAAGATTCAAGCAGCCCTCATACCTATATATATATTATGGTCCAATAACTCAATCCTTATAGATTGGAAAGAAATTAAAGCAATACTACCATGATCACATAGATCTTAAAGAGAAGAAGTACTACCGGGATCACATAAAACTTAAAGAGAAGAAGTACCACCATGATCATATAGACCTTAAAGAGAAGAAGTACTACCATGATCATATTGATCTGAAAGAAAAGAAGTACCACCATGACCATATAGATCTGCAAAGAGAAGGAGTACCACCATGATCATGTAGATCTGCAAAGAGAAAAAGTACCACCATGATCATATAGATCAGAAAGAGAAAGAGTACTACCATGATCACATAGATCTGAAAGAGAAGAAGTACCACCATGATCATATAGATCGGAAAGAGAAAAAGTACCACCATGATCATATAGACCTGAAAGAGAACTAGGGATCCAAGGATAGTGCAAAGTTTCAAATTGAAAAGACACTGCAAGTGTATGGGGGCATAAAGTAGAAAACGCGGAATCTCATTAAAATATAGTCTTTGGGCAAAATAAACAATTTTTTGACAGACTCCGCGTTTTCTACTTATGCCCCCATAAAGTGGAAAACGCGGAGTCTCATTAAAATCGAATCTTTAGAAAAAATAATCTGAATGAAAAAAATGTTTTCAAAAAAATGTTTTGAAAGTCTCCGTACTCCGCAATCCATACTCCGCACTCCGTCTTTTCCAAACTGACCTCTGAACTCAATAATCATTTCTATATTTAGAGCTAGAGCAAAACACGCACGTGCCCCCCCGGAAAGTTTACTCTCTGCCTGTATGTATGAATAGATAGGATAGATATATAGATGTATGAATACATGCCTCGTCTCAATTTGCCACGTAACAGCAATAGTGCAAAGTCAAACTTTGCACTAAAAAGTAGCACCAGGATCATATAGACCTGAAAGAGAACTAGGGATCCAAGGATAGTGCAATGTTTCTGAAAACTTGAAAAGTCAATACGGTAATATCAAATCTTTCAAACATATTGTTCATAGTTTTGCCATTCATTTGTCCAAATGATGCGGTTTGCGAATGCAAAACTGTTGCAAATTAATTTTGTTGTAAATTACCAGTAAGCTTGAAGTAGACGGAATTTTGAACTTTTAGATGAACTTTTGAACTTATTACAGCCATTTTCGCCGTCCAACCATACCACAAGTCGCAAAAATATCCGACCGTTTGCTTACGTTTGTGACGTAGCTAACAGTAGCTGCCGGAAGCTACATTTTTAATGTCGTACATGGTGTCTCAATTGCTTATATACATAACATGGCATCAAAAAATAGTTTTGTCGATATTCCTGTATATTATTTTGTAGCATTTCAATTTGTTTAATATACAGAACGCAGACAAAATTATACCTTTGATAAGATTAGGCCGAAATTTCGGCCACATCACACATTAATTAATTGCCAAATTAAACAGTAAAATTTGCATATCTCGATTTATAGTATTATGCCATCAGCAAACTTCGCGCTTGTTATTATCCTTTTACTTCAATTAATACGGCACAAAAACCAAATATCTTAATATCTCTCATACATTCATGCAAGTCATATATATAAAACTATCCATATCAGTAAAACTCATTGCGGCTGTCTGCATGTGCACAGGCTACAATATGCGCGCCTTCAATAAATGAATAAATGAATAATTAAAACAATATTACAAAAAATTCTGTCAAATTCTGCGACACCTATTGACGGTTGTTCACAGACTGTATGTACTATGAGACTATACAGCACGCAAATTATATTTTTATATCAGAAAAATGCTGTTTTTATATGACTATGCTTCTGTTCTAAAATTCGACCAACACTCATACGCGTCGTCATATTTATTTGTGCGCGTTTATTTTGCTGACTTGCAGTTCTCACGAAAATTTGATGATACGGGGGGTGCTAATGGCACGAATCCCCATATTTGTTATCTCAGTAAACTTTAACATTGCTGTAATGTCGACCTTTTTTACTGTTGCTATAAATACCGTTTTAACGTTAAAAATTCTCCAACCTTGAAGTTTTTTTAGATATGGCACTGGGATAACATTTGCAACTCCCCCCGGAAAGTTTACTCTATGTATCTCTCGCTTGAATTTCGCCACTCATCACAATAGTGCAACGTTTCCATGGAAACATTGCACTAAAAAGTAGCACCATGATCATATAGATCTGAAAGAGAAGAAGTACCACCAAGATCATATAGACCTGAACGAGAAAAAGTATCACCATGATCATATAGATCTGAAAGAGAAGAAGTACCACCGAGATCATATAGAACTGAAAGGAAATGAGTACCACCATGATCATATAGAACTGAAAGAGAAGAAGTACCACCATGATCATATAGATCTGAAAGAGAAGAAGTACCACCATGGTCATATAGAACTGAAAGAGAAGAAGTACCACCATGATCATATAGATCTGAAAGAGAAGAAGTACCACCATGATCATATAGATCTGAAAGAGAAGTACCACCATGATCATATAGACCTTTGTTGTTTGTGCAACTAACCAATCATAAATAGA